CCCTACAGGTCTGTGCACAGGGTTATCCCACCTAAGAGAAAATATATAGCACCCCCCCCCCCGCTGGTAGACTAGTTAAGGGGCTGCAACAATTAGCACAGCTGCTCTAATTAATCACAGGTGGAGTTACCTTACAATAGCAAATCCTGATTTCTTTATGTCAGGATGGGCAACTTCTGTATCTTTGGAGGCTATGCAGTCATTCTGATTTGTTGTGACATGCCATCAAGTCATAATTGGCTTCGAGTGACCCTGTGAATTAATACCCTCCATAATGTCCTGTCTTCGGCTCTTGTAAAAGCCTTTATGGAATCAACCCATTTCATGGTTTTGCCAATATTTACTCCTTTTTCCTGTTCCATGCACAGGTTGAACAGATAGGGAGATAAAATGCTGCAAGGTCACAGGATTGTACCCTATTTTTAATGAGCTTGTTTTAAATTATTGTGCACCTCTTTGTTGGCTGTTTTTGCATATAAGGTGGTATATTAATGTTCATAAGATATATAAAGAATATATGTATTATTTGTACCATTTTGTCAATATATGCATTTTGCAAGCAATTTCATTGAATATAATGCAGTTTGATTATTTACCACAGTACATGTTTTGGTATACACCTTTTCCAAAGGCATGCATGTTTCTGCATTTTTAATTGGCAAACTACAATGTTCAGTGAATGCAAATACAGCCTACTAACTTTTAGACTCAAGACCAGGGGAAGCAAGTGACTCCTATGTGAATAGAAGAACCATCCATGGTAGTGAACCTGTTTTGTGGGTGGAGCTCTGCACTACAGACAACACCTATAAAGCTCAGAATAAAAGCCGCTGTGGGCAAGGAGCAGCACTGACATAGGAGTCGCTAGCCTTTTCTGCCTTGCACTTAACAGTCTTGAGGGGTGAAGGAGCTTTAGATGGCCTTGCATATCACTCCAGTTGTGAAACATACAACTTCTCTTTGCCCCCAGCCAGCATTCCATCCTCTACATTCCTGAGGGTTAGAACAACAGCAACAAGCCACAGCATTGCATATGCAAATTTAGATGCATAAATGCTCACTTAGAAATAATCCCTACCATTTCAGTAAAAAATAGAAGACCTCTTGTGCTGCTCAGTCTGTTGTTTGGATGCTGTGGGTGGCACTTCCAGAACTCTTGAGCTCTCCCCTTCGACGTTAAACAAGACTTGGAGTGGCCATCCCATCAAGTATCCACAGGGGATTACCCTCTGCCAATTCTCTGCAACAGAGGACCATCCTCTGCAAAATAGGATACCTGGCCACTTTAGAGGGTAGAACTGTGGACTATAGAAGTGAATGTGCATTCAATCTGTGTTGCACCATGAAGCCACCCTGCTGCCCGCAGGTGTGGTGGAAGATGTTGCCCCATTGCCAACATTTGAAAGGATTCACGTGCTCGTCTGGTTGGCTCCTGTGGGTGGAATGGGATTGAGCACCTCTTGGCCTTTGTCTCCAGAGCACAATGCCATGGGCCAAGCCTAGTGCATTACTGCGAGCATAAAAAGCACAAACACTGGCAGGGAGCATTTCTAGATTGCACTTCTGCCTGTCATGAAGTTGTTTGAGGCACGTTAGCCCTGCCCGAAAGAATCCATTGTCCAACTTGCTGACTTTAATCACACCCTCCTTAATGCAATGAATGGGAGAGGTTTAGTTATGACATAGTACATCTAGTGAATAGAAGGCAAGGAAGACATGGGGCCTTCCTAAACTTTTTTTTAAAAATAATTTCTATACCACCTCAATGGCTCTCTGGTGAGTTAACAAAAACCATAAAACAATATACATTAAAAACATAGTTAAAACACATAGAAAAACATAAAGGAGGTGGATGGATTTATTTCCTGGCACTCAGGTATTTAGCAGGCAACATTTAGCAGACATGGGCATGAATGGAAGAAAAACTTGATATGCTTAATTTTGTGTTTACCCAGCGGCCATGTAAGGTAGATGAACAGAAGCAGAAAAGAGGTAGCACCCTTATCCTAGCACCTGCTTGCGTTTCAGTGTGCGTACAGAAGCCACATACACTGAGGAACATTTGGGATGCTAATTCCTAATCCGTAGAGGACCAGGCTCAGAAAGGCTCCACTAAGGTTTCAAACACATTTCTCAATTCATTTCTTAGCTGTGAGAACTCACTGCTTTTTCTTTCCATGCACAGCACTGGAAAATTGCCATCTTTTCCTCTGTCAGAAAGTGGAAAAATGTAACAGACTGCTTATACACTAGTGAAAAGGTCTAGTATATAAGTGTTTAAATGACATTTTTAAAGAAATTTTTGTCTTTCAAAATTAGTAATGGCTGAGAGAGGACACTTGCACCTACATAAATATAAAACCTTGCTGTTCGGACAATATACAGTGCATACAAACTTTGGTATGAATAAAAAAATCTCCATTAGTAGTCCCTTGCAAAATTATGTTTTTATATGTAATTTTAAATTGTTACAACATATTACCACTAGATGGCAGACCTTAACTGTTCAATTAACCATTTCACCAAATTAAACCACACACTGGCCTGAGCAGCAGAGTACAAGTTCAGTCTGAGTAAATCATGAATTGTACTTATGTGTGAGCCTTGAACTGTGGTTTAACTATGGGTTAACTCATACCAGAAAAAGAACCCATGGTTCATTATTGTGTTGTGAACCCTGGATTAATCATAAGCATAGCAACAAACCACAATGCAATGACAAACCAAGTCACTGTGCTAAACAGATAGCATGTAGTTATTTATTTAATTCCATTTTGATGCCGCCCTATTACCCAAAGTTTCTCTTTTTACCTTCAAGTAGGTGTGTGGGGCCACAGAATGGACCAGGGCCAGTTGCTTCCTTGAACATATTCAAGGAATTTGAACACACCCCTGCACAGGGCCCAAAATGAGAGAAGAAATACTGCATTGGTGCCAGGAAATGGTCTGGGATAATGGCAGTTGTACTCCAAAATATCTGGATGGCATCAAGCCAAGGAGTTTTATTATCTGTAAGTAGTTATCAGAGCAGAAAGTAGACCCAAAGTTTATATACATGCCAGACTGAATATGTGTTGCTGAGATGTTGCTAGTTGCGAAGTCATGTCCGACCCATCGCGACCCCATGGACAACATTCCTCCAGGCCTTCCTGTCCTCCACCATCCCCCGGAGTCCACTCAAGCTCACACCGACTGCTTCAGCAACTCCATCTAGCCACCTCATTCTCTGCCGTCCCCTTCTTTTCCTGTCAATTGTTCCCAGCATTAGGCTCTTCTCCATTGAGTCCTCCTTTCTCATTAGGTGGCCAAAGTATTTGAAGTTCATCTTCAGTGAACTGGCCTTCTAAAGAGCAGTACCAACCCATTAATGGTTGCAAATCTTTCTAAACAAATCCCATCCATGCCTGAGGTGTATGTACTACTGAGTTCAGTGTGGCTTGCATTCAGGTGAAGGGGTACAGAACTGCACCTTAACTAATTGCAAACAAGGTAACATTGTTCTTTCAAAATGAATTTACAGATAGCTCCCACATGGGTTTGCTCAGAAATACAATGTGTTCAAAGGAGATTATTCCTCACTTTGCATAGGACTGTAACCTCAGAAAGACAGTTGCTTCTTCAGTTTCAGCAAGATGGTTTTGAAAGGAAATGCAATTCTTTTCTTAGCAAATGTGGGGTATGTCTCTGTGCACCTGGAACATTAGTAGACATTTAAAAGAGCTGGAACTTTACTAGTATACATGAGATTCTTTTTGAAGCTGGCTGACTTGTAAGGGGTGGGGTATTTGCTGGAAGTGTAGGGAAGGCACTTCTTTTTTCCATTGTGATGCCTTTGGGAATCCACCCCCAAAGAAGCTGAATCAAAGATAAGACTTGATCTTGTATTGACCACAATCAAAATATGTTTTCTAAGCTTACTTAGGATTGTACATGGGGGATCTGAGGGGGTTCTTGCAATTATTATAGGAAGGAGGTAAACTCTTCCCTCCCCAGTTGCAATTACCTTTGAAGATCACTCCCTGCATGGCAATTAATTGAAGAAGAAAACCTCTGTTGGTGTCATCGAGCCAAGGCTGTGGGAAATAGACTAAGGGCTAGAAGGCCCCAAAGGATCAAACCTGGCAACATATGTGCATGAAACTAATCATTAGGAGAGAAGTCAATCCATGGTAAAAATCACTTTCCACATAGAAACACAATAACTAGAGCTCAAATTGGGGGATTTAAATCACAAGTTCCACTCTGAGATGTATCCTTGCATAGGTTTACAAATAAGCCTTGCCTGGCAGCCCAAAGAAAGGCTGTTTGGGAACTCAAGATACTGGATTTAAGCAAAATTCCATTTCAGCTCTGGAATTCTCTCATGAAGTATAAAACTATGAACAGTTTGTCTCTACCCTCAGGGCTAAGTAGTGATAGGAAAGAACTGGATTTTCATGACCAATAAGCATGCAGTAAGATGGTCTGACAGGAAAGACTCAAACAAAGCACATGCAGAGACAGCAGAATGGTTCATCTAACAAGACCCAAATGCCACATAATGCCTTGGGCAGGCCTAGAAAGAAGCTAGTAGTTGCAAGAAGGAAGCTCCAGCTGAGGGATTTGATCTTTGCAAATACCAGTACAACTGATCTGACCTTCACCTCCTCAGTTAATATACAAAGCATCACTTGGTTAGCCTTTGGCTTTTGTAGTTCGTGAAAGATCAAATGCTTTAAAATACCTATTTTGAGAGCAAATATGTTTAGAGATGCATTAATTACACTTTCATGCAGCTTAAAAGATATTTCAAGTAATGCAGAAATGAATCAAACTTAATGAGCCAGACACAGAGTGAATCCCAGACTTGCCCCCACAAGGACTTGCTAATGGCCGTTCTCCTGGAGCTAATACTTAGCATGCACTTTACAACATGGCCATATTGTTCCTTTGCTCATTTCTATCCCCATATCCTCCCAAGTTGCAGGATTTCATCCATAATAAGTTGCAAAAATGTATAATAGGGTGCCAAGTGTTTATTAGGCATTACAGGTATTGGAAAAACATTGATTTCACAGTCAACTATACAGTTGTTCAAGACTCATAAAAGGCAAGTCCATGAGGAGCAGCTTAGAAAAGTAATAACTGACTTCAAAGCAGTGCATCTGTCTTGGATTTTAATGGTTAGGGTCTCATGGCAGCAGTTTCTGAACATGCACACCGGCGCTAACCTCTGAGACAGTCAGACATCTTTTCTGTCTCCTACCTGAGGACAATCTTACCTTTACTGCTATGGTATTTCCCCCCGAAAGTAAGTGTTACAATTTGTTGAAGTTAGTGCTGGTGGTTCTTACAGGCATTCCTCAAAAGTCTGTTTCAATTCTTAGATAACTTTTAAAACATTTAAGTGAAAAAAAAGTGAAAGACCAAAATGCAAATATTTTCTGAAGAAGGTAAACAAGAATCCAGGCAGTTGCATGATTCAGTGGTTCTTTAAAAATGAATATTACCTAATACTCTTTATTTTTTCAACAAATGCACCTCTGAAGTTTATTTTAAATCCCTGCCTGAGGTCCAGTTCTGTTTCATCAAAGTCAACAACAGAAGATCAGGCACTTAGCACAAATCTCATAGCGATGCCCATTATACCTTGCCACATTGCACAGGAGATGTTAAAAGAATTTTGTTTGGAAACCATTCTGTATCTTTTAGCCCTCCCCTTTTGGCAGTTTTAACAAAATAGCATGTTTTTATTTAGCAGGTTTCATCTCCCTGGCTTAGTTCCTTCAGATATAGGTAATAAGGAAATGAGCATCAAAGCTGAAAACAAATTCAGCCTATAACATAGTAATGATCCCGTTAAAATTAGATTGATGGCTATGTTCTACGAGTTATTGCCAAGTTTTATTCTATATGACCAGTATAAGAAGCATGTTCTTTGGTTTTGCAATGGAATAGCAGTATTTAATATGGGGGCTGCAGAGTTGTTTCATCACAGAGCCAAAATCCTGAATTTTATTACACTATACTTCTCTATATAAGAATTTGCTTGTCATCACTGTCAATATTACTCACACATACGCAGAGCCCTATGCACACTTTGATACGTACCTAGAACTCTTGCATGTACCAGCCGCTTTATTTCAATGGAGGAAGTAGATTACCTGTGTGAAGTAACTGACATGTGAATCTAGCTGTATTTGTTCAAACTAACAAATTTATAGTCCATCTGGTGCACAATGAAGCCCCCAAGTCTGTCAAATATCCATCACAAATTGTGCCCTCATCCCCACCCATACACTATGGATTAAGCAGCAGAAACACACATTTTTATCCCAGAAATTGAAAAAATAATAATGGGGGACTAACTAGAAAGTATTATGATTGTTCTAGAGGCATCAACAAATCTTTGTTCCAAGCCAACCAGCAACAACAAAAACTCTTTGACCTATTAAAGCTTTTTTTCCCTTTTCTTTCTTCTCTCTCTCTCCCCCCCTCTCTCTCTCTTTTGGCAATTCAATAGTTAAAGATGCATTGTACCAGATGCTTAAACTCTTTCATGTATATTTTCTACTTTCACAAACAACCTGTCCAGGTCATTCCGTATATCATCTAATGAGCTCTTCACCGAGTGCACATCATTCTCATTGGACTCTATTTTCACAGAATAATCAACCAAACTGTCAACTGCAGCTCTGAGCATTTTTAAGTCAGATTCAACCTGGCCAAAAGAAGATTGCAATTCATTAATGGTATCTTTCATAGACGAGAGTTCTTCTAGGTTATCTTTAGACTGCCCAATGTCTGTTGGAGGCCTTTCTTGATCCAGCAAAGCACGAACTTGTTTCTGGATATTACCAAGTGCTTCAGCATTGTTTGGCAAGTCAGTCACACTTTTCCTTAGCTCATCAACATCATTGTATATTAAGAGTTGAGCTTCACTGAGACCCCTTACAGAATCAGTGACGGAACGCACATCACTCTCCAACGTACCACGGAGAGAGCCTAGATTTTCTTCTAGTGTAGCTAGCTTGCTCTCATAGAGAGACAGAGAAGATTCAATCTCTTCTGTGTGCTGTGTAGAGGGTGACACCAAAGTCTGAAGGTTCCTTTCTATGGATTCAAGCCTGGATTGAAATTCTTCATTGTTCTTTTGCAGATTTTCTATCATATCATTGGAAAGTGCATTGCCTTCTTGTACACTACCAGAAGATCTGATGAGTTCCAATTCTTCTTTGAGTCTTTTAAACTCATCTGGAAGATGTGCCACAGACTCTTCTGCTTTTAGAACTTTCTCCTCTAAAGCCTGTAAGGAAAGATGTTCTGTATCTGCAGCTTCTTTGAACCTTTCATGCTCCTGCTTGAGGTTGATGAGTTCTTTGACTTCAGACAACACATCAGACTCCATTGAATCTATGGTACTTTGCAGTGACTCTATGGTCTTCTCTTTAGCTCTCATGGAAGCTTGCATTTCATCAACAATACCTTTCAACACTTGGAGTTCATCCTTATATATTTCTGTTTCTCCAAGCAAAGCCACCTTTGTTTTTACCTCATTGATTTCATCTTGGCTCTGTTTCTGGACATGAGTGAATTCAGCAATATTGTCATTTATAGACTTCGTCAACTCTGTTAACCTTTCTTCAACAGTGTTTTCTAGAGATGTAAAATCTCGTTCTCTGGCATCTTTGACAACATGAATACCATCAGACAGGTCTTTCAGGATTTCATTTTGTAGCTTCTGAAGAACCTCACCAATGCGACTGATCTCAGTTTCCCCTTGCCTAACTGCTTTATTAGTGACTTCTTGCTTTTCCTGAGTGTTTTTCAGTGTCAGTTCAAAACCTCCAAATGCAGACTGAAGAGACTGGACCTGAAAGGGAAATACATGTATAAGTAAACTCTTGACATGCCTCTTGTCACAGGTTCCATAAAGCAGGGTGGGAAAATGAGTAGCAGAATCGGAAAGGTGTGCAGCACGAGCACTTAAATATATTTCCTATCCCTACATTCACATCTATGTTGATGCACCAGGAAATACAGACTAGACAGCAGCTCCTTGCTTGCTTTCCATGTGTGCAGCTTCTGGGTGCTTAGCCTTTCTATTTCTGCTATGCTTATGGGGGAAACAAATTCTAGCATCAAAAATCTGGAATGGGGCCCAGAGACCAAAGGAAGGCAACATGCTTTGCATGCATAAGACTTAATATCAAGCATCTCCGGTACAAGAATATCAAGTAACAAGGCTGAGGAAGAACTCTTTTTTCCAAGTCCTTAGAGAATTGATGCTACTATCTGACTAGATAGAAAAATAGTTTGACTTGGTATAAGGCAGCTTCATATCTTCTTTCGAGGTTTATCCAAACTAAGCACACTAGCTGCATATTTTCAAACCTTTTCTCCAACACAGTAAGCACCAGGGGCTTGCAATTTATCTATTTATTTTAAAATGAAAGACAACTAAGATTTTCATGGTTGACTTTTGGATTGGTGTCTGTGTTCTAAGCTGCAAAGATAATATGGAACATACACACCAACTACTGACCATGCCTCAAAAAATTATACAGCAAGAGCCGTAATAATATCATACCAGTAAAGAAACTGATATATGCTCATCCCTTAAGTACACTAAACTCTATTTCTAAGCATGGATGGTTAATAAGCTGTGGCCTAGTGTGGTGTGCTGGTTAGAGCACTGGACTGGTACTGAGATGATCCAGGATCTACTTAATAGATCATCATGTGACTTGGGGCCAATCACTTCCTCTCAGCCTAACCTACTTCACAGGGCTTTGTTGTGATGATAAAATGAAAAGAAGGACGATTGTGAATTCCATGCAGGAAAAAGCAGGATATAAATATGCTACATAAAATCCATGCTGAGCCATTTGGAATTATTTGTTGGATTGCCTATTTTCTGCACAGCTATGCAAGCTATTCTCAAGTGTCCGTGTGTACATCAATGGATTGTGGCCAATGCCTTTCCTTTAACAAGCAACAATAACATGCAATAATGGTACCATTTAGTGTACTGGAACAACATGCAGTTTTCTTTATCTTAATCTTTTAAATGTTACATTGGCAGGAAGCAAGACATTAGCTTAGGAACATGAGTGCTATCAGTCTTAGAAGTATGAACTTCTACATGCACATTACTTTGCAGAACGCAGATATGGTAGGCATTATTTTTAAGTATCCACTTTCACAGCCAACGATGTTTTATGAACCAGGAAGATCAGTTAAGCAGGAATTAACTAAATTGTAGAGTTAAACCATTTACTTTAAACTGTTTTAACTTTGATACTAAACACCCTTATGGCACAGTCCTATTCATGTTCAGAAAGAAAAAAATCTTACCACTCCAGGCATGCCCCTGCCAACCTTCTGGGAGCCCTAGGCCTGTTTGATGTTTAAATATGCATTGGATTATATCACTAGGGCTTGACCACAAAGGTAACTGGAGCTACAGCAATGCATGCAGCTTTACTTCTCAGTAAGTCTACTCACCACTAGAAAAAAGCATTCAACTTTACAATTCATTTGCCTATCTTAAGGCAAAGACTTGTGGACTCAGAGCTATTCTGACAACCCCATGGACCTTGTGCAATGGACCACTGCAAGTATCTCTCCACCACATCTCTACTTGAATGAAGCATTTGCTTGATACGTTACACTGAAAAGGGGAAACTACAACAGCTGTATTATGGCAGGGGTGGGAGAGCTGGTGCCCTCCAGATGTTTTAAGGTACAGTCCCTATCAGCTTCAGCCAGCATGGCCAATGTTCTAAGATTACAGAAATTCCTGTTCAAAACAATTAGATGGCATCAGGTTGTTAACCCTTCTGCTACAGCAATGAGCGATTATCAGTGACAGCACATGGGGACAAGATTAGTAGGATGTTATTCAGTTATGTGCATCTCAATGTAAAATTTTCTGTATCGGAAAATATCACATGGGAAATAAAATATTGCAAAGGGACAGGGAGAAGGGAAAGGCAGAATAAATGATTTGTATTAAGGACAGTGCTAAAATCATTCTTGGGTTGGAGTAGTAGCCAAATGTAAAAAGTTTTAGTTTTACTTTATAATGAATTATATTGGATGAACACTAAATCTCAGAAACATACCAAATCTGGGGGACATATCTATATACCCCTTTCACATTATAGCAGCTCATCCCAGGATGACTTTTAGCTGTGCTGCCTGCCACAAAATAAACCAATATCTTATTTCAAAACTCTGCAGCACTGTTGAACCATGAATGAAGCCCAGATTTCAGCAGTCCTTCATTCGTTTTAAAGCTTAAAGCTACTAAGCTGAGTTCACAGACTTTCAGATCTTTGATTTCAACCTGTGTTAACTTAATGCATGATCCAAAAACGATCTTCACACTAGCTAGCAAAAACAATGGACTATATTCAGTGTCAGTTCTGCTTAGGTTACATCCATTGAAAAGGCTCTGATTTAAGTTTGACTAACATTGGATCCACACCACTATTTGGAATTCATACTTTGGAATATTCAAAGCACTTCATATAATGTGATTTAGTTGAAATCTTTACAACGAATATGTAATGTAGGTCAGTATTATTATCTCCATATTGCTGGTGGGGGCTGTAAGAGAGTGATTCCCCAAAGGCTAGCTAGTGAATTCATAGCAGAGGCAAGATTTGATCCATGGCTGTTCTATTTCACAACCCAACCTCAACAACGTTTTGCTGCACCAACTATTCTTAGCCAAACTAAATAGCAAACCTCTCACATAAACTCCAGACTAGAATACCAGGCAGGTCAGGTCAATGCCATTGGTTCAGATAATTTAAAGAAGACAATGTGGCAATTGCAGCAGTCAGTAGCCCACAGATATGCTGTTTGGCTTTGTTGTGCAACATGCGGTTGCAGAAACCTTGCTTTTTGGAGATTGCATAGCTGCAGAGTTTGGTTTAAAACTGAGTGCAAAATGTCCACAGTATTCCTCAGCACTGAGCAAGCACTGAAATGCTGTTTCTGAACTGGCCAAGAACTTGCATGCATCGCTTTCCAATAATCCCCATGATTCCCAGAGTTCCTTGAGTATAACTCCAGGAACCAGCAGACTGGCTAGAACATGTGATGTCATGAAGCCACCTCCCCCTCGGACCAGTTTTTCAGCTTTGAAAGAAACCCACTGTGATTTTTTTCAAAGTAGTCAAATGCACATTTTACAAGAGGGTGTGTGTGTGTAACATATGTATTGGACAGAAGAAAGAAGGCAGATGATGGGCCACGTATCTGGATGTCCTTGGGCATGGTGCTGATAAAGGCCACTCCCTGCTTTGCTGCTTCCTCCCCCTCCCTCCCGCAGTGGCTTGCCCCACCTGCTGCAGCCCCTTATACCTGCCCCTGGAGCCCTCCACTCCCCTGTGCTGCTACCCACCCCTCTTCTCACTGCCAGCTACTGCTAAACACCTGGCTTTAATGGGTCCTTCCTCAGAGCCAGGCATTTCAGATCCTGCAAAGACGCCCCAGGAAACTGCATGCTGCAGGTGCTGTACCAGGACAACTCTCACTAGAGCTGCTGCCCATTCTCTGCTAGCTCTGCAGCTGCTCCTAAGGAGAAGTGTCCTGAGAGATCCCCTGCAGCACAGGAACAAGCTCCTAAGTCTTCTCAGATGCCTGGCTCCGAGGAAGGGCCCAGACATTTGGACTGGATGGCTCCAGCTGAGCTGGGCCAGCCACCATCTCCTGCCAGTGCAGCTCTCCAGAAGTCAGCTGGCAGTGGCGATGAGCAGAAGGCCTTAGGGATCAGCAGGAATAGGCCCTTGGCAGTTGCCTGGCCTTGCTGATCCAACACTGATTCTGGAAGGTAGCTCACTGAGCCCACATGTGGAAGGACAATGATGAATCAACATCTGACTATGCATGAAGCCTGCAATATGGGTACCGCACAGGATAGAGATGGGGAGAAGCAGCTTCACTCCACATGTAGAAAATGCCTTATTTTTTATTTTGGTATATGTTTAACAAATATAGCTTTTGTGGGCCAAATCCACTTTGTCAGATATCATCTTTGTCCTATAATTACTTATTTGCTGTTACTCTTCTTAAGATACCCAAAACTTTGGCTGCAAGCTTCTGCTGGTGTCCTTGGGAGTATGCCCCACTGAACACAGCAGAGCTAACTTCTGTGTAAAGACACACAAGCTTTCACTGCTTTGTTAACTCCAACAGACAAGGGCAAACAGTTCAAACATCCTCTCCACAAATGCTAGCCAAAATATTTGCTCCCACCTGACCAATTCTCTGAATTACTCTGTGGAGAGGAACTGCAACATGTTCTTGGGGTCAGGAGGATGAGCTTCCAAACTGAACTGTAAAATAGGGAAGTATGACAGAGGAAGGACACAGTCCAAGCTCCATCCAAAAATTCTCAAAAGACGTTTTAAAAAAATGCTTAGAGTGCATTCTTATTCGAATTTTGACAGCCAAAAAGGCCTACAACTCCCAGCATTCCCCAGCCAGCCATGCTGGGGGGGGAGAGAACTTTTTTCTGGCAGGGCATGCTGGGAACTGTAGGACTTTTTTCTGCATAAGAATGCATAGAATTAAGCCCTAAAAACAGCTCGCTCGAACCTTGCAAAGGTCTTGGGACAACTCTCAGCACCACGGCTGGCAGGGGTGGGGGGAGGATACTGGGAGCTGTAGTTCAACCCTTCTGGAGGGCTCCAGGCTGGAGGCGGCCGCTTGAAGATAGATACGCCAGCCTGAGCTAATCCTGCAATCCTGTGCAAGGGACCCTGCCTGCGTGCGCATTCGAGCAATCAAGTCGTTCTTCTCGTCTGCAGATTTTCCACCAACTTTCTCCACTTCTTTCTCGTTGCACCTACGCGCCGTCCGATTCACCGGAGGCTTTGGCAAGATTCCCGGGCAAGCACTCACCCCTCAGTGCCTCGGAGGGATTTTAAGAATGTGGGGGCAGGGGAGCGGGGGAAGGGAGAGAGTCGTATTTATTATTTCCCCCTCACCTTTTGCACTGTCCCTTCCACGGTGCGGGCCAGCTCTTCTCGCTGCCTGGCCAAGCCTTCCTGCCTGACGCCCAGTCGGTTCACTTCTTCCAAGAGGTGATGGACGTAATAGCCCACGAACGCAGCCGACGCCAAAAGGACGAGGACGAAGAAAAAGTTCAAGAGCTTGCCTAGGCTGCAGAAGGAGGCGGATCGGCCGCCCCCTCCAGAAAACGGAGAGCCTCCTTTGCTTCCCTTCGGGTGGGCCGGATTCTGCTGCTGCTGCTGCTGCTGCTTCTTTGCCACGTCATCGGGGTGGCTAGAATGGGCTCCCTTTTCGGACGGGGCGCCGCCGCCGCCCTTGTTACTCCTTTGTTTGACCGAAGAAGACATGCTGCCTCTGCGTGGAGGGTGTGTGTCGTCCCGCTTCGCCCAGAAGCAGCCGCGGCCAGCGGCACTTTCACGGAGCTTCACGCGGCGTGAGTTGCTGGAGCCCCCGAGGTGTGCAAGGCGGCGGCAAGACCACGCAAGCTTGGAGGCTCTGCTTCTCCATTCAATTTTCGGCAAGGCGAGATGGGAGGGAGGCAGGGCAGGCAGGGGAATCGGGCGGGCTTCTTCGTCCCCGCCCTGCCAGACTCCCAGCGCCGCCTCCCAAGTTCCTTCACACGGGGGTGGGGAGAGAGGATGCCACGCACACCGGGAGAGAAGGGAGCAGTCCTGAGGGAGGATCGAGGAGGCCCGAGGGAGAGCTTTTCTCTTTCCTGGCGATCTGCCGTTTTGCAAATCTCTCCGGTGTAGGGGATGTTGTGAAGGGCAGAGCAGTTGGGGAGGGGGAGCGCCAAGCAAACCGCCCCCCCCTTTCGCTGGTAGAGGAAAGGTGAGGGCAGTGCCTTTGCCCCTTAGTTCTCTTCTGTGTAGAGAGAGTGTCAACTTACATAATGGGCTACCGAAAGGTGAACTTCATAGAAAATTTAGGAGGAGCATCTGGAATTAAATAGCTGGCGTGCTTTTGGTTTCATAAGAAAAGAAGATGTTAAGGCTACAGAGAACAAAAGGAGACCTAAAGGTGCAAAACAAACAAAATAATGCTGTAGTTAAGAAATGAAGGCTAGCGTGGAGCTTGTTTCCTCAAAAGCTGAGTTTTAATCAGGCATGGTTCCAGAAGAGTTTAAGGTGTAGTCCTATCAGTTATGCCCTCGGTGCTCACAAACCTCTGCTCAGCTTTTGAGCATCCAGTGCTCTCTTCCACCCACTCTGCAGTTCAACCACTGCCTAGCTGAAGTGCTTCCCAAGGTGGGGGGGGGGGCGGGGGTGTCCCTGTCTCCTCCCTTTTTAACACCCTCTCCCTGAAGTCATTTTCCCCAGCCTCAGAGAATGAGGGATTCCACTGCAGGGATCACAACATCATTTTCAGAAAATCAGGCTGTTCCAATAAGAACAGTAACAAGGACTTCACGGGTTATGATGCCATCTTAACTCAGACAACTGGGCCCGCATTGTGAGTATATGGAACCAGCCACTTGGCAAGATCGCCAAAACACACTTCCTTAAATCCTTGCTTAGTTCTTTGGCCCACTGTATAGTCTAACACAAATCACTTCCTCCTATCCTGCCTCACGGAATTGTTGTGAGATTCACATGGGAGATGAGCCCATTTAGGTTCTATTCTAGAGCCAAAGGTAGAAAATAAAAGTATGAAACAGAAGAGGTAGAATAAACACTAAAATAAAAGAAAAAAACTGCGGTAATTGATTTGGAGTGACCTGGAACAAATCAGTGGCTTTGGTTTCCAAGCTATGTAATGATAATGGAGCTAATTATCATCAAGCATGTGGTATATACATATATTAACAATTGCACAGTGAATAATAATGTGTAAGACATTTCCAAATAAGCTTAAGGGAAGTTTCTCAGGCTGCTTCTTTCCATGATGAGTGGGATTTATTTCCCAGAAAACATTCCTAGAATTGTAACTCTACTGCACACATGTTGACAAATTGGCAGCATCCATTGCATTTATATATGCTTGTTTTTTACAACGTTTATAAACTGGGCTATATCTTTGAAAAATTCCCTGGATAGTGCGAGAGAATAATAAAAATACGGAAGTGTACAAACATTTAACATCAAGTTATACTAATAACACTTTCACGCAGGAAAAATATCATTGCCTAAAATTATGTCTTTAGCAGATGCTGAGAACAAAGCAGGGTTGGCACTTGTCTGACATTAGCCAGCAGGGAATTCCACAGAGAGGGAGCTAGCACATGAAAATGTTTCTTCCAGGTGGGCCCGAAATGACCCTCAAGTCCATGTGGAATTGGCAAGAGCACTTCATCTGATGACCTTCGTGACCCAGCAGGCATAAGGTAGAGGGAATGCTCTCAGACACGATGGTCCTCATGTCGTTGAGGGCTTTAGAGACCAATAACAAAACCATACATCCGTGCAAGCAGCAAATAAGCAATTTCTTCAGCACAGGAGTGACATGTTGAAAAGGGGCAGCTCCCAACAACAGCTCAAGCTGCTGGACACCATACTAGCTCTGGTTTACAAAGCAGCCTCAAGGGCAGCCCCAAACAGAACACAGTGCAGTAATTTAGCCTGTGTCCAAGCAGTTCCTATTCACAAGGCCATGCTGCCAAAGTTTTACACCGCTCTATAGGCTTTTCCCATTGTAGAAGGTGATTTCCCCTGCATTGATGCCTCCTCCAGCCATGGTGTAGGTTCCTGATTTTATCTGTATTACTGAAGGAACAGGTTAGAGAAGTCTGTTGTCTGTGGATGAGCATCACTGGCTGAGTCACACTGTAATTCAGGAACCTTTCAGCCAGTTACTGATAACCCGTTATTTAGAAGAAAACAGTAGAACTTATTGCTCAAGAAGCCTAGATAGGATTGCAACCTTTAAACTAGCTTTCTCAAACCCAGGGCTTTCTAGATGTGTTAGACTAGAGCTCCCATTTTCCTCAGCCAGCTCTGGCTGGGGATGTTGGGAGGGTGTAGTGAAGGCATCTAGAATGCAATAGTTTGCTGAAGGCTTCTATAGCCAGTAACAATGTTCAGTATGGCTTCTCACCCATGAATAGTTCAAATTCAGTTCATTTATTATCCTTAATCTTAAATCAAAATCCTGCATGCTTTAGATAATCTTCCTAAATATAGAGACTAGCTACAGAAGGTCACTTTTTCAAAGGCCTTTTCTTTCCCCGTTGTCACGATTTATAACTCTAGTTGAGTGCATCCCATCCTTGCAAAAGCTTCTGGTTGCAATTCTGCAAAAGTGACCTTGGAGGAGGCTGATGCCACTAAGTTTGGAGGGTTACAGGCATCCCCACAGAGGTGCACCTTCACATCAAAGCCCACTGAGCTGAGAGGCAGCACTTTCTCACCTTTATCAGCAAGAGAGCCAGTGTGGTGTAGTGGTTAAGAGCATCGGACTGGGACTCAGACGACCTGGGTTCGAGTCCCCGCTCAGCCATGGAGCCAACTGGGTGACTTTGGGCCAGTCACAGACTCTCAGCCCAACCGACCTCACAGGGTTGTTGTTGTGGGGATAAGATGGAGGAGGAGAATGATGTAAGCTGCCTTGAGCCCTTTGTAGGAAAAAGGCAGGATATAAATCCAAAAATAAATAAAAATAAAATAAAAGAGAGCAATGGCCACAGCAGGCTGTGCCCACAGCCTCCTAGGACACACATCACTGCAAGGACACCAGCCGTCCACATCCATCCTTCAGCTGTATAAGAGCCTGCTGCTCCAATGCTTGGTTTCCACTTCCCATGTCCTTTCCCCTTTTCTTTCTCGTCTATAAGATTATGAACTGCTTCCCTTAGGCCCAGCTGGAGACATTTGCAGATGCTCAATTGCTTGCCTGTGAAAAATTGGCCTCTGGATTAAGTTGCTCACCTCCTCTCTGGGCCTGCTGTAGCAAGGTCCCTATCTGCATGATCACAATGCATTCAGATGATTCAGTGAGTACAAAATACAGCCTGGCAGGACATTTACCAGGACACCCCATGCAAACCCTCCTAAGCTGGCTTTTCTAGCTGCCTAGTAACTGTTGAACCCAATTCAAAGCTTTGAACTACTTTGGACTCAGAAACCAGATATGGCAGCCTCCCCATACCACCCTGCTATCCAGATTGTCTGCTAAGCCCCTCTTCCATCGGAGGTGGCACATTCTTCGATATGCGAGCCTTCTCAGCAAGTAGAAGAGACCTCCTGTGAAAGTCTGTCTGATGTCAGTGGTCTTGCTTTCACCTGCTAAGCTCTTTTGCTCTCCTAGGCATTTTAAAGTCTCAGATTAATCGCCATTTTGTATCTGTTATTTGTCTGCTTTTGTTTTTATTTTTGTTTTGATAAGTTGTTCTGGATGCTGTCCTGAAGAAAGGCAGCAAGCATGTAACTTTTTAAAGATAAACCAAAACAATTGAAATAAATGGTGCAATGCTATAGGTTGGGCCACAGTGCCCTAACTGATGTTCAGTCATGTACCTTCATGTCATAAAATAGGGAATTTTCTTACCATAAATTTTGCTTCTACAAATAGGCAATAAGGCCTTTAAGGGTGCAATCCTATGCATATTCAAACAGAAAAGAGCCCTAAAAGTCCCAGCATTCCTCCACCAGCCTAAACATGGATAGGATTGTTTGGGGTCATCCTTTGGGATGGCCTTTCCCATCCTGCTGGGAGGGAAAGCCTGCAATTGAGGTGATTGTAATGATTCCCAGACAACTTTTTCTCCTCCCCCTAAGCAATCCGACTTTCCGCAGGTGTGATGGACAATGCTAGCCTATCCTCAGTGCTGAAGTAGAATTCAACTGCCAGTCTGTTTGGCTCCTGCAAATGAAACAGGAAAGCACGATCTTTTCATCTGTGGACCTTGTCCCAAAGGCTAGCTGTGCTGAAGTCTTTCTGATCTATTAGAAATCAGCAGATCAATCAGGAAAGATAAAAAGACTGTTGAAGTCTAGTTCAAGAATGGCAACTGGGGGAGGTCCCCTCTAAGGCATGAACATGCTCAACTTAAGAAGATGACATGCTCAACTTACTAAAACATGTGATACCATTTATCAGAAATAAAACAGAAGGACCAAGAACCCAAACAGCCAAATATATTTCTATGGAATTTCTGGTGAAGTAGAGCATTGATATAATCTCTGCTGTTAGGTTAAAGAATAGAGTGCAATTTTCTTGAAAACTCAGAACAACCATTCTCATTCCCCTCCTTATTTAGTATTCAGTTATGGAACTGGAGCTGAAAACTTAGAAAAAATCCCCATTCTGTGAAGATTCACCTCCCTCTGCGTAGAACTTGGCAGATTTTAAAACTGTGGTAACAAACAGAACCATATTGAATCAGTCAAAGGGTCCATTTGGTCTAGCATTCTATTTATACCAGTCTTCTCCAAGCTTCCAGACACATTTGGTCTGCAACACCTAGAATTCCCAGTTAATGGCCCTGCTGGATGGGAATTCTGGGAGTTGTGGATGAAATGCCTCTGAAGGCCACCAGTTTAGGGGAGGCTGGTTTACACAGTGGCCAATCTCTTGAACCCAGGCTCCTTACAAGCAAGTTATGAGTGCAACAGCACCCTCATGCCTACGTTTCCCAGAATAATGCCCGATACTGGAAGTAACATAGAGCAATCAGAACGAATAGTCATTGATAGCTTTCACCAACATAAATTTGTCTAATCCCATTTTAAAGACATCCAAATTGGTGATCAGCACTACATTTCATGGAAGTGAATTCCACAGTTTTACTATGTGCTGCACAAAGAAATGCTTCCTTTTTCTCTTTCAACAGAGAACACCCCTCCAACCAGCTTCATAGCATCAACCCAGTGGGTTCTCATATGATGGGAGAGGGAGAAAAATGGCCCCCTCCACATTCTCACACCATGTATAATTCAGTACATATCTATTATGTCACTTTAGACATCATTTTTTCTAAGCCAAACAATTTCAGCTGTCATAATCATAAAGGAGTTGCTCCAATCCCTTGATCATTTAAGCTGCTCTTTTCTGCACTGTCTTTTTTAGGTGCAGCAGCCAGAAATGTACACAATATTCTAAATGTGGTCACACTATAGATTTATATGGGAGCAATATGGCATTGTCAGTTTTTGCTTTTTTCAAGGCAGATGTGCTGAGCCAATATTTTCATCAATATATTTGATGCTTCCCTCCAACTCATTCAAAATTAACTTTGTACAGATGTTAGTATTGTTACCTTTTGGCTTCAGCAAGGCTCCTTGAAGAGTTTCTGAGCAAAGAGAAATTTGGCAAGTCTGTGTTCCCTCTCCATCTATTCATGCTGCTCTGTTAGGAAGAAGTAAACAAGGCTACTGGACGTTGCTAAGTAAGGGTGTCAGCTACTTTTTCCTGGCAGGGAAAAACAGGTGCATAACAGCAGAAATTCAGCAGCTGAGCCCTTTCCTGGCATCACGGTGTAGAGGAAGTTCTGCCTTGTTGTACAGGTGTTAAAGGCACAAGAGGAAAACATCTGACAATTCTAGCTATAGCAGACCATTGTGTCATATATGACAGTCATGTCCACACTTTTCTAGTAAGGACTACATAACAGAAAAATGGGTTGAAAAATGACAATCCCAACCAACACATTCTTATTCAGGACAGGCATTGCTGGCAAATGAAAATTCAGCCTCTCTGTTTTGGACTCGCCATCTACTCTCAATAAGGCAGGAACAGTGCAAGTCCCATTGCCAAAAATCCTTGGCTATGGTCCTGTGCACTCTTGAGAATAAGGCCCATTGAGCAAACTTTGGGTTGGCTGATTGCTATCGCAAGGAAGTGTTCTTGAATTCAATGGATGGCAATTATTTGCACCCATCAGGCTATGCAGGGCTTTTTTGCTCACTGCAAAGTTTGACTAATTGTAGCTTGGTACATTTTCTAAGGTGATGGACATCTAGAGGCACAGCCAGTAAGTAATATTTGCTGCACTATGGATACCAGTAGCTGAAATGTTTGTTCAGATCCCAAGAGCTGTATAATAAAGGATAAGTGGCAGTTAGCATCAAGTGTTTCAATGAAGAAAAAAGAACATTGTTTAATCGCACTGCAATACTGGAGTTTATCTGGAGACTTGGGTAATGCAAATAACGAAGTTTAGCATCTAATCTTCTGACAAGGTGGGGTTCTAAGCTCATAACACAGGGCAAGTCCAACAAGTAGACTAGCCAAAGCAGCAATACTCCTTTAGTTACATAATACATGCTCTGCATTCTTGGTTAAACTACTTTTTGATAGTGGAAGAAGCAATGCACCAAGAAATTTGTGAATGTAACATCTTTGCTGCAGCATGCTGTTTATTTAAGTTTGGCATTGACTTTTGGAAATGAGTGTTTTTTCAAACCAGATTTTGTAACTACATAAATATTTTGGCCCCATTTTGATACTCTTGAATCACACACCCAGCACCAAAAGTTGGGAGAACACCAGAAAAGGCCTGCTTGATCAGATCATCTAGTAAAATAGGGGTAGGCAAACTTTATGATCTGTGGGCATATTCAGCAATGTGAAAACCATTCTGGGCACTAGTTCAAAATGGCTGCCATGAGGGATGTGGTATGGATAAATAACCTGCCCAAAGATTGTGTACAAGACAAGACAGAGTTGAGGTCTGAGCCCTAACATGCTAAACAAGTCCCTTGGCCCATAGAGTTCAGCACTCACAGAAATCTATTTCAAAGCAATCCCTGCTGCCAGTATGGAAATGTGGGAGGGGTAAGGCACCTTGGCAGACACTAGAAAAGGTGTCTAGGAGTGTGTTGCCTACCCCTGTAGTCCAGCAACCTGCCTTTCCACAGGTAAGTATCAAATGCCTCCAGGGAGCTCATGGGTAGATTAAGAAGAACCATCTTCTGCCACTACCATGCTCTGCTAATAGGCATTTGGTGATATACTGCCACTTAACAAGAATGCTCCTTTTAGCCCTTGCAGCAGATAGTTGTTACAAAAGGATATAACATAATAAAACTGGAAGAGCCATGTCATATCACACTGAGGCTCGATCTAGTCCAGCGTTCAGTTTACACCATGGCTATTAGCTGGTCGCAGGATCACAGGAGGATATGAATGCAACAGCACCCTCCTGTCCAAGCTCCCCAGAAACTAGCATACGTAGACAAACTGCCTCTCATGTCAGAGATGGTACTCAGCCATCAGGACTACCAGCCAGTCATAGCTTTGGCCTCCATGAATTTGTCTTTATGAGTTGCATGAGGAAGTCCTCCCTTTTGTCCTGAACATCCCTTCAATCAGTTTCATGGGGTACTCTCTGAAGCATCTTTGTCCATACATTCCCCCTCTCCAGGTAAGGTCCTCTGAGGATAATCTTCTGAAGTCCACTGCTGTAAGATTAATGTCAGCTCCCAGGAGACTTTTTCAGTGGTTGCTCCTAAGCTATGGAATGGTCAGCCAGGAGGGATGCATCTTATTTCCCAAATTCCCACCTTTAAGAAGGAATTAAAGATGTATCTCCTCTGACAGGCCTTCCCAGATTATGTCAGTCATGTCATGTTTTACCTAATACGTTGCCTTTTGTCAATTTTAATCACTGTCGAATTACATTTTGTACACCTCCCAGGGCCTTTGGGAATGGAATGGGTGTGTGTGTGTGTGTGTGTGTGTGTGTCTGTGAGTGAGTGAGTGAGTGAGTGAGTGAGTGAAAATAATAGTGATCAATAGTAGTAGTAGTAGTAGTAATATAAAAAATAGAGTGACCCCATTGGGTTTTACTATTATAAGAAAGGAAGAAAAATGTCGTCCGATGCCGTTTCTCCCCACCTGGTGGATTCTTGGTCTCATCCAGCAGGCGCTTCTTACGTTTTTAGAATATATAACCAGCATGCACCTATTCACTTTTTTCGGGACAATGTCAAGCAATCAAAATTACTAAAGAGGCTATTTCTTGGCCAGCTTCGCCTTAGAAGCCACAATGGCTGTCGACTGCGGGAGCGGGTGAGAACGAGAGCTGTTCTGGCAACACAGCCCACGAACCGAGGAGGCCGGGGCGCAACCCCATAACCAAAAGCAGGCGAGGACAACCGAAGACCTCTCTCTCCCTTCCGTAAACACCACGCAGTCCCCTCCCCTCTCTAGGGAAGGTAGAATTTTCTCCGGAGTGGGGGGTTACGACCCAGTCCATAGGGTCCACTGTTTTCCTTTCCCCACCTTGTTTTGGGCTAGGTGCTTGGAGGTCGGCTAAAACAATCTCTTCTACAATGGAAGGTCATTTTTCTTTGCCTACGAGCGTTGCCACAACTTTGACGCATAGGGGAGGAAATGCTCCCCCTCTCCCCATGGGAAATGGAAGCGTCCAGGCAGCTTCTTTTAGGCAACCAAGGACTGTGTATAAATAAATGGGGGGAGGGAGTTAAAGCTCCGGTGAAAACAGCTGAGGAGTAGCAGAGGCAAAGGAAGGGAGAAGGCGAGCAGACGAACGGACAAGGGAGTCCACTCGGTACGAGGGAGTGAAGAAAACAGGAGTTTCCTCTGCATGGGAGAATCTCTTGGGGTAAGTGAATTGAATCTATATCGGAGAAGAGGGTTCTTTCCATCCATTAGCACCTTTCCCCTTCCCGCACTGGGAATTTATCTTGAGACAATCCAGTTCAATTCCCCCTTCCCGTTTCCAGTCCGATGGAATTTTGGCTTGCAGTTGGCTCTTCTAAAGCTCTCTCTGTTTAATATGCCCAGTTCAAGGTGCTTTCGCCCCGTTTCTTTCTTTCCTTTTTGTAACAAAGCGAAGCGTGCTCAAAATCAATCTTGTTTATATTTGCATTTGCAACTAGATAACGCGATATATAGCTGATTCCACAGATATTTAGTCGAAAGTAAATCTCCCCTCCCCCCGCTTGTTTAGTGTAGTGAGGTTTGCTCCTAAGTAACTGTAGCTAGGATTTAGTCTTTAGCCGAATGCTAGTGGCAAACAGTGTGATTTCTTACTATAACGCAAGAGGCTCGCAGGCTTGTACATTTCTAAGGGCAAATTTTTTCCTATCTCCCCCTCCCCCGGTGATTGTCTTAAAGGGGTTCAGCTGAACAGCCGGCAATGTTTTCTAAAAGGCCTCTGTGTAGAAGTCTTGTTGCAGATGTTCGTAGGCGAAGCGGTGAAGCCTTGTTCTGTGAGTGTGTATTTAAAGGCTTTCCTTAGAAACGTTCCTTTTGTTTTGATCAAAGAGTGCCAGAGCGCTGTGTGCCTCACACTAACTGCCAAAAATACTTCGGGGGGTGGGGATAACTGAAACAGATGGGAGGAAGAGGAGGAGCTGCTTCTGCCTGTTGCCTGGGAGGACCCTTGGCTCTGGAGACAGCAGGCGAGGGCTGGCGTTGCGGAGATGGAGTTGGTGGTTTGGAACAGGGTTGTCAGTTCCAGGCTGCTCTTCCAGGTCAGAGAATGGAGGACTCGCAGAGAAGGCCAGGGCTGACCACTGGCGCAGCCCGAGCCTAGGCCCAGGTAGCGCTGAATTATGTCCCTTTCCCCAGGCACACGCGGTAAACTGAAACTGGTATGACTTCGTTTTCAGGCTTGCAGTTATAGTAATAATTGCACCGCTGATGAGTAAATTACAAGCTATGAGCTAGATTGGCAGAAGACACAGGTTGAATTGATATAAGCCATAGTCAGCAAGGGATTTTGTCTTACCTTTTTCTTTCAGAAATTAACATGCCAGGGAAAGCTCTTCCTGAACCCATTTTTTTTCCCCTGTTCTGTTTTCATCTGCCCAGGACTATTTCTGCTATTGCCCCTGCAAAGGTTTCACCTAAGCTGATTTGCAGCCTGTCAAGGGCAAACTAAGAATGCAACTTTTTGGGATGAGTGTATAGAAAGGAGACTAAGACGTTTCACTTACATACTGGTAGCTGGTCACAGGGATATGGTACTCTGGATCAAAGTTATTTGTATGTTGTCCTTTAGTTGAAAGGCCCAATGCATGTGGATAACAGAATCTGGAACGTTGTTCGTTCTTCCTGTGTTGTTCACCTGTGTTTTGGAATGTCCAGCTTGAGGCCCATAGCCACTTCCTTTGCTTCCTGCCAAGTTTCTAAAATGAAATGTTAGTTGTTTTTAACCATGAAGCTCACATGTCCCAATGTGAAGCACTAGTCATCTTCAGTACCATTGCCCCCTACCCTAAGAATGTCTCCGGGGCCCAGTGGTATTTTCAGAAAATGAAAAGGCAGTTGGCTGCTGACCAGCACTTCATTCTGAAGCATGTTCAGCTGCCCCAAGGAAAGGTAACCTGGAGTGGTTGGGAGCATTCAGGAGGGCTAGGGAAGATGCTAGGAGCATCTTAGAGGGCTAGAAAAGGTAATAAAGAGCCAGGTTGTGCATGTTTTGGCTATGGGAGTGTAAGAGACTGTTGCCATTGTTGGAAATTTCTCTAGGAAGTCTTTCTCTAGAAAGTCTTCCTAGAGAAATTATCTCTAGAGAAATTATCTCTAGGAAGTCTTTATGGCCAAACAAGATCTCAAGGAACTGTTTGTGAGAATACTGGGGGCATACTGTGTCCTAAAGAGCAACACAGTCTCAAGGCGCAATGCCATAAATGTTCAGACAGATAAATGCTCCTATGATAGTGTGTGTGTTAGCTGTTTTTGTTTGTTTGTTTTGCTGTGGTATGCATATTGCTTGTTTTTTCTGAACGGTATGTTTTTGTCAAGTCAGATTTGAGGTGTGCAGATGTGTGTTTTGCATATGTATGTTTTTCTGAGCCTCACCAGTTTGCTTTTGTGAAATGGCTATTTTGTTGTGCATTTGCAGGAGGAAACAGGATATTTGCTGTTTGGGACTCAGATCCCACCTCTGGCATACTCAGTTTCTTGGTCACATTGACGCTCTATGCACCTCCTCAGGTTCCCCTCTGTGAAAATAGGTGCTGGAGGGCAACTCTGGATTTGGAATAGTTGCTTTGATTCTTAGAGCTTAGCTGTTACCCTTGTACTTAGGTCCTTGGGGAAATTATTTTATTTTACACCAATCTTTCAGTTTGGCTTCAGGCTAATGAGTTTTTTGCAACTATCCACATCTCCCATGACAACCATTTTGTGACTGGGTAAACTCACCATGGCAGCCATTTTGTGGGTGCCCAGCACTCTCTACAAATACCAATTTCCCCCTCCATCCCCCAGAGTTCAAGGACTCATCCTATACACTTGCAATTAAATCATTTTCTGAGTTTGGATTCTTATTTAGCAAAGCAAGCTCCATCCATATACAGGCAAGCTGGGAGGATCTTCAAAGTCTCTAAAAATGAGGGAAAAAATCTTCAGGGAAAAACCTGTATGCAAGCAAGGCACAGAATGCTGATTGTGTGTGGAAAGAAAAGAATGAAGTATAGTAAAGGGCATGACTGGCAGCCTGAACCAGAGCATCTCACACAGCTGCACTTCGTTGCAGGGCTCACTTGTACTTGCCTGTGTATGACACTGTGCACTGATCTAGTTTCCTTTGAATTTGCCAAGAGTCCATAGTAATTTGTGTGTGTTAGAATAGAAAGTGAGGGGGAGAGGGAACCTCAGTGTTGGAGATTCAAATGCTCAGAAGTAAACGGAGCATGGTACAGTTCATAACATTATAGTTCATGTTGCATAGTTCATGTCAACACCCTACTCAGACACAGACATCAAAGCAGTAAGGAACTTGGCACATCAAAGAAATCCTACTCTGTGTCTTCAATGGCAGAACAGTAAAAGTTCTCTTCAGCTGATTTGTGATTAGCTCAGAAAAGGGCTCTGGAATGACAGCATGTACTATTAGTGGATCTAAACTGAAGTACCCAATGTGATAATCCTAAACTATAATAGTACTTACTGGGTCCCAAGCCTACTTGGAATGACAGGGGATGAGGCAGTGCAGGCCAGAGGGGTTTAAGGATTGATCAGACAACTCTGAGAAGTCTTGACTACTGTGGGGCCTGTGTCCTAAATATCATTGATTTAATGATGAACTCAGATGGAGTCCTAGGATTGGGTGCATGCCTTTTTTCAATAGTGTGCCTAACTTCAAAAGCCCTCTGCAAGTGATCAGGTCAGACCTCTGGCAAGAAAAATCTGCGAAGAGAGATTATCTCTGGCCCCTTCTAAGCTCTGACTTTCACTCTGCTGGCATGCACCCCTCCCCCAACTGAGCATATAGCATTGATTGTTAATACAGGCCTTAATTAAAGAGAATAGTCCATGAGTAGCAGTCAACCATTCTAGCCTAATGTCAGTGCTGGGCTGCAGAAGACAAGGCTCACAAGGGCAGACTGAAACAGGGTGGAGCATCAATTCAAGAAAAGGTGGCAGGAGCAACAGAAAGCCAGAATCTGCCGTGGAGTATGAGGTACACTCTGGGGAACATTGCCTGTGGAGATTCCACTGGGCTTCAGGAAGCTGAGGCTATGAGCCAAGTAATCCTTTCAAGGGAAGTAAGAGAAACTAGGCACCAGGGAATGCTTGGAGCAGGCCTTCAAACACTAAGCCAAACAGATGATTGCTAAGGAAATTATCTCTCGGAAGTCTTTATGGCCAAACAAGATCTCAAGGAACTGTTTGTGAGAATACTGGGGGCATACTGTGTCCTGAAGAGCAACACAGTCTCAAGGCACAATGCCATAAATGTTCGGACAGATAAATGCTCCTATATCTCCCAGTATTTCTCTGTCAGACTTTTTCTGCCTAAACATGCCTTGTATTGTGCCCTTATTTTCTCTCTGCTCTATGTGCCCCTTCCAAACAAATAACCCAACACTGGGAAACTAGCAGCCAGACCCAGAATCGGTGGTGGTTCTGTGCCATCAAGTCGTCTCTGACTTACCCTGTCCCTGTGTAAGAAAGCTGTCCAAAATGCCCTTGTTTAGCTCTTGTAAATTCAAGGCAGTGGCTTCCTTTATGGAGTCAGCCCATCTTACAATCACTAGGTTCAAATAATGAAGCTTGACATCTGTGCATCTGCCTCCAACATTGGTCAGCATTGGATTATTTAAGTTATGGAAAGAAAGATAGTGTGTGCAAAACTGAAAAGGAAGTCTGCCTTGAGTTTCTGATTATTCTCCCAAAGTAGCAGAGGGGACTGATTTCTGTTGAACTTCCCATTTGTTCAACTGAAACAATAAAATCCTCCCAGAAGAAATAAGCACAAGCTATCAGCAACTATATAATGTCATCTGCAACACTAATTATATTGTTGTGTAGAACTCATGGAATCCTAGTATTGGGTGGCTCTTTGTAACTATATCTATATGAACTTAACTTAGACAGCTTCACTGCTTTGAACTACAGTCATGGACAACCATACTATATTAGTTTGATATGTTAGTGCTTGCTAGCCTTGAGGTATTTCTTTAGTAAAAAAATATGATCCAGATAAAGCCACCAATTTAAGTACTTGATGTACTCCTCCTGGCAAGGATATAGGTCTCTGTAAGAATGTATGCTACTTCAGAATTTGTACCCAGCCTACCAGTAGGTATACGCACAGCTAAATTTGTGTACAGAAAGGATGATGAATTTAATAGTCAAATTCTTCTGTAATCTGTTGTCCCTCAGAAGCCTTGGACTGTAGTCCCTGTTGGCCATGTTGGTTGGGGTTGGTGGGAGTTTCAGTCTAAAACTTCTGAACATTTTGTTTGGGAAGTCTGGTTTAAACCATTACAGAAATTCTATTCTTGTGAGCATGCTTCAAATGAGCAAGGCAGCTCTTGTTCAATCAATACAGTGTACAATTGTATTGAAGGCCTTCTTCACAAATCCATTGTCTTTGTTTCACCCTGTAGACTTGCCAAGCACCCTCTTAATGTTGTTACATGCACAGTGTGTTGAAACGCTAATCTCCAGTGAATTGCATCAAATTGTATATGAAGAACAACTTTTGAGCAGGTAAGGATTGACAAGAATGGACAAGCTCTCAAAAGTGTAGTATAGTTTCTAATTCACACTGCTGTGAAAACACAAGGCATAATATTGTATGACTGTTTGTGTGTGCATTTTCTTTTTACTTTTAAGCTACTTTTATGCAAATTTCTTCTATAATTTTCATATAGTGAAGGAATGTGAATGGTGATGACATTTCACTGTCTATTCAAAAGCACGATGGGGCTGTGAACATCTATTTCAAGTTGTTGTTTGTTGTCCCATATATCTGATTTCCCAGTGGAACTCTGTTACCTAAACTGGCCACAATATGTGCCTGTCAGGCAGAACAAGTAAAACACATGGTGCTCTTGATTACTTAGCCTTCTGCTATGGATCTATTTGTAGTGGTTCTCTTCTACTCCTAAATAGCCCTATGGCAAGTATGCACAGACTGCAGTTTTGTCCTCTGCTGAGTTCTGCCCAGTTCTGGTCCTGGCAGTAGGAATTGATAATCAGGTTATTTCTGTTCCATGTAGATTTTTTATGTATTCAGTCAATCTGTTCAGTCAAATTCCACATTAGTCTGCAACAAATTTTTAAAAACTGCAGGCAAAAGTCCAATTTTCTGTGCAACTTTCCCTACATACTTGGGTACTCAACTTTAAAGCAAAGAACTGTAGTGCAAAACTTGAGAAGGGTAATTGTTTTGATCTGTGTATTAGTCTGGAAGTGGCACTTCTTGAAGGGCATGCATTTATTGTGACAGACTCCATAGCTGTGTTCTCAGGGTGGATCCAGAAATGCAGCTGTGCATCGTTGTATACAGACATGCATATACATGCACAGAGGCATGCATACAAACAAGGAGTAGATCGTTGTCTGGTCCTGTCCTTGAGTAGTGAGCAGGCAATGCAGTGGTTAGTATGCTGGACCTTGACTGGAGAACCCTGAGATTGCATGAGAAAAGCAAAGCAAAGAAAGGGAGACAGTGGCCTAGTGCACATAACATGGTGGGGGGAATAAGCCATGATGGTATATTAACCTGGAGTTTCTTTTCCCAACAAGTTGTAAAGCTAATGGGTTTTAGTTGCTCATTCAAGATCAAGCCATCCCAAATACTTCACATTACAACAAGGATTGCTCCCAGCAATATAGAATTACAGGGGGAAACCAAGCTTCCCCAACCCCCTATACTGGTTAGCATTGCAGCTGAGCTGAGAAGGAAGGGCAGACTGAAGGGCATATGATACCACCGCCCTTGTTTCAGTGCCGTGAAGTCTGGCTGTGGTGCAAAGCTGCATGGGAGTGATGAGCTCATTTTAATTTCCATAACCATAATCATGTTTCTGTATAGGCCTGTCCAGGAAGATACTTGAATACAAAACTTGAGGTTATGTGGTGTTTCAACCAATTGTACCTGGCGGGTGCTCCTTCAGGCTAAGTAAAGGCTTACACTACCATATTTTTCCCATTAGAAAACCCCCCATATAGCAGGAGAGTAACTTCCAGACTAAATTCCATTTAGGAAAACTTGGGATGGTGGCCCATTCCAGTAGTCAGTGGGGCACCCCCCAGCATTTACCAATTTATGGTAAGAAGTATGTCTGCTCACAAGTAAGGATGAGCAGTGTTTACTCACAAGCAAGTGTGACAAGCCTTTGCAGAACAAAGTTCAGAAGGAATCATAGGAAACTGGACTGAACCACTCAGCAGCTTTTTACTCTGATTCCTCTGCTTTTCAGGAAAAAGCTCTTCTCTCCAGTCAGCTCCAGATCAGAGGCAAGCACTTTTCCTTGCTAAAGCATGGAGAGAAGGATCCTTTTCCAGTGCTGAGCATGGAAGGATTAAAGGAGAGGAAACAAAGAAAGAAGCTCCTGTGCCAGAGTTCTTCATCCTTGCCATGTAGAGAAGACTAGGATGTTGAGAAGCTTTCTGTGTATTGTTTGTCTATTTGTAGGAATTAGTTTTCCCCTAGGAAAAATCTCCATCATGTGAACATCCACATCCAGTGCAAAGTGGTGCAGTCCACATTTTATCATGTAAACTTGCTCTTTATGAGAAGGAGAGCTTTGCTTGCTTGGTCACAACAGTTTTACTTTGTAAGCTGATTTGTGTTACAACTGGCTAAGCATAAAATGAGTTTCTTAGCCTGTTTATTGTCACGAAGACACTATGTAGGTTTACAGCTGCAGCAATGTACTTCAGTTGCAATCAGGAACAGGCAAAACTGTGGAACTGCTATGCTGTAGGTGTACAGTAATTTGTAGTACTGGAGACAAAAAGGGTTTGTGTGATCTTGTGTAGATGTGTCAAAATAAAGGATGCCAGGGCTCTTGCTTATGTTCTGTGCAGTGCCAAATGGACCTTAAAAGTTGTGAGTTAAAAAGTTCTCTGATGGGCATATTCTGGAACTTATAATAAGGGACATCTAGTCAAGTTCTTGCTTGCAAACAAAATATAAAACAGTGCCCCATCAAATAAGCATATGTGTGTTTGTTCATAGCCAGAACATAGCTTGAGTTTTTGCCTGATGACTGTCTACATTCCAATTGCTTTAAGTGAGATGATGACATATTTGCTTCCTGTCCTACATGTGTGTCTAGTGCGAACCTAGTGCTTTTTCAGTCATCTGACCCACACTGGAAATAGTTGCTTTTACTTGTCAGAGGACATGATCTCACCACACGCCTTCACTGAGAATAAACTGATGTCATCTTAGGGCACAATCTTATGTACAGACAGAAAATATCCTATAATTTTCAGCATATAGAAAGTTGTAGGATGTTTTCTATCTAAACATGCATAGGATTATTCCTGTCATGAATGAAGTAGACTTTCCTCTCCATGTTGTCTGGGAATGATGGGAGTATCTGGAGGTCATCAGCTTGATCAAGGCTCAAGGCTATTAGACAATAAGTAGTAGATTGTACCTGCCCCAAATCCCTCCTCAGGCTGGGATTGCTAGTTAGCTTTCGTAATGGGATTGGCACATCATTTAATTGGTCAGAGATAGTCAGTTGACTGCCTGATCTTTTACTATGATTCAGCATTGTCAAATATTCCAGATGAAGCCAGTACATCCAATTGCTTCAGTGGCAGCTTGTTTTTTTAAATGTCACTGAGACGGGACTTGATAGCAAGAACATGTGGGAGCTGCTAGCCTCCAAGCCTGTGAAAATTGAGGACAAAGTTTTTCCAACAGGCCACATATGAGGGCTGAAAACATTAGCAAATGGGTAAAGGAACACAAATAGGCATTCTACACAAAGGTGGCTACTTCTTGGACTGCTCTTGCTTGTTTTCCAAGCTTGGAATTTGGCTGTGTGCTCAGTGCACAGTAATACAAGGAGAGGACCTTAATAGTACCATTGAAAGCATCTGGCTTAAATTAAAGGGAGCAAAAAAAAAAAGGAAAAGAAAAAACATAAGAATTTCTTTTTGTCTGGGAGGTCAATAATAGGATGCAGTCTTCGAAAAGCAACTTGCCAGCATTTCCAAGAAGAATGTACTCATCATGGAGGACTTCAATTTCCCTGACCCATGTTGGGAGACAGTTTCTGTCAAACATGGCCCCTCCAAGAGATTTCTGACATGCATTGCTGACAGCTTTCTCCAGCAGAAGGTAGAGGAAGGAATGGGAGGAAGAGCTATCCTCAATTTAATACTAAGTGGCAGATATTACCTAGTAGACAGAATAGCAGCCATGGAACTCTGTGGGAAAGTGACCCTGCAATTCTGAAATTCTCAATTATAAAGAAGACAAAGGTTAACTGCAGCCATGGACTTCAAGAACACCAACTTTAATTAACTCAGAACAATAATAAATGAGGTGCCATGGCAACTTCCTCTTAAGGGAAAAGGAGTCCAAGGAGGAAAACTTGGGAAAGTTGATTATTCTGTAGGACATGGAATAATCATCTCGAATTGTGATAATATTTAAGCTAGATAACAGGGAAAGCTTCCTCACTGTCAGAGCAATACAACAGTGGGACCAGTTGCCTAGAGAGGTTGTGAGCTCTCCCACACTTGAGACATTCCAAAAGAAACTGGACAGTCATCTGAATGGGATGGTGTAGGTAACCTGAAACTGCAGGGAGCTGGACCCATTGGTTTTATTGGCTCCTTTCAACTCTACTGTGCTATGATTCTATGATATTTAACTGCACTTGCACTGAGGATTTGTCTAAGGAGAACATAGCCTTGGCAGTTTTATTTTCAGTGCCTTTCCTAATTATACCTAACATGGTGTTTGCCTTTTTCACAGGGTTGCCATTTTCAGAAAATCCGTGTCTCCTTGGCAGCTAGCATGGAAAGAACTTTCCTGCCTGCTTCTCTAAGGCTATAAAAGTGACCTCAGAGAAGGGCATTCTGGGTGGGTGGGGAGGAATCCAGCACTACAACATGCAAGGTATCCTGGCAGCACCACGGCTTTCTTCCCTTCCACTCTGCAGTGCTGCACTTAGATGGCTGAACTGGCCATCAAACTGGTTTGGAGGGTTGGTAAAGCGTGGAGACAAACTTGTCTCTGTATGCTTCCTGCCCTCCATAGGATGCCCATTATCCAAGGTCAGAGGCCATGGACAGCCTCACTGGACTGCATTCTAATATGCTTAACTTGCAAGCCTATGTATGTTTTGACAGGAGAAAGGTCTTACAGCAAATGTCCATTGTCTATAAAGTCATGCATAGAATTGTACCCTGATTGCCTGACTCAACGTCAAATAGAAAATAAAGTTGATAAAAGCACATTTAGATGAGCAAGTATTGCTTATGCAAGTTTTTTGAGGGGCTGGGGAGTACTGCTGTTTTGACATATAAAGACCCTCTTGCTACAAGATCCCATAGATCTAGGTGACTCAATCAGTCTTCTTGTTTTTTTAATTTTATTTTTAGGTTTTTTTGTACTGTATCATTAAAAAGTAATCCAGAATGCCTCTCAGCGATGAGCAGAACAGTGACTGTGATTCTTTGAGATCCTCTGAAAGTGCTGCTACTTCTTCCAGTGACTCTGAATACTCAAGGCAGAGCTTTACCAGTGACTCTTCAAGCAAACCTGGATCCCCAACTTGTAAGCTAGTGTGAGCTGTTTGTATACGTTTCGCCACAGCCTGTATCAGAATGCAGCTCCCATAATTCCCAGCCAGTGTGCTGGGCGGGAATTTGGGGAGCTGCAGTTTGGCACATCTGGAGGGCAGCAGGTAGATGGAGGCTGTCCTAGCACCTGCTGTGAGATGCAAATCATTTGTACTTCCTCTGAATCGCATGGAGCCCAAGATTTTCAAACTGTTTGGTTCTTTGGATACTCATTCAGCACTCTTTGGTGAAAGCAGAGCAGCTCCCAGTTGAGAAGTCCTGGCAAGTGCCCTCTCATGGGGCCCTTTCTATGTTAGTCAGTCCTTCCCATTACTGATGGGTCCTGGCCGACCTGCGTCTTGATGAGCAGCAGCAAGGGACCCTAGTGTAAGTGGGCTCCTTGGCCCCAGCAGTTCCAAAGATGCCACATGCTGATGCTGGGTGAAAAGATCACTTAATGGACAAGTTTCCCTTAAGGGGAAGTACCCCTTGCTGCCCAGTTTTCCTGTGCTGTTCACCTGCAGGAGAGTGCTGGGTGTGTTCCTAGATACATTTCCAGTTGTTGCTGGGCAAGGAGAAGACCAAACAGGTCTATCTAATGCTTGGCATGCCTTGGAGAATTAAGCAATACACAGTAATTCCATATATGGAGAGATGCTTCAGAATACAAGTCAATGTGGAGACAGTTTAAGAGCAAAATTTTGCAGACCGTTACCTTGAGTAGAAAATACAGCTCCTGACTTGTATGTTGTCGTCCCCATACCTGTATCAGGAGTTTTTCTGCCAGTTTCAGTGTGCAAGCAGTTTCTACGGTTCCTTTTGGAAAGGGACTGGGGCTAAGGCAGGTCTAACCTTAGGCAGAGTGAGATGGCAACCTTGGGTGGCAAATACTGGAGGGAGAGCCTAACTTAGCTTTTCCAAAGCTAACCTGCTGCCCTCGAGAGGATGTGCTGTATCACCAGTGACAAAGTGGCAAAACATCCTGGATGGCACTTAATGACCAAAGGCAAGCTTTATGTGTAGGGAATAGTCCTCAGATGTGAACTTTTAACCTTTTTCATTTAGAAGGAGCTGTTTAGAAATGTGGAATAGTGAACTGCTTTCCTGTTAAAAGTTCGTGCTGAGCCAGTGTGCGTGTAATTTCCTTTCGTTCCAGCAACAAGCCCGCCTAAAGTGGTTACATTTGATGAAATGATGGCAGCAGCAAGAAACTTGTCCAACTTGACCCTGGCTCATGAAATTGCTGTAAATGGAAACTTCCACGTGGAACCCATAGAGCCTCCGCACAACAGGTAAGCTGGAAAGCTTTTAAAAGCAAAAAACCCCTGATAGCAAAAAAACAAATGAATAAAATCACAGATTGCTTGTGCAATCTTGTAAAAGTTTTATTGTTCAGGGGTAGACAATTGTTTTGTGCTAATTATTAAATTCATACTTCATTGCAGTCTAGCAGACTCAAGAGGTCTGCTATAGTGAGAGCATAATAGAAGTGAAGCAAGGAAATTAGATGAGGAAAAAAGGATGCAAAAACTCTTAGCCTGAAACAGATTCAGCAACAGATGGCTAAGGGTCTTCATGCTCCAAATGTTTAACAGTGTCTTGCTGTTTCCCAGTTTCCTCATGGATTGGCATACCTTTGGAACTGATGTCTACTTGTGTTTGACTTAGACTTTCAAAAAGCTTTTAACAATCCTTTAGCAAAGGCTGTAAACAAACTTGACAGTCTAAGATAAGAGGATTGGTAAATGTTTAAAGAATGAAAAACAAGGTATATAAATAAATGGTCAGTTCTTGGAATGGAAGGGAAGCAAGAGGTGCCATACCATAAGCATCTATCTTGGGATCAGTGCTTTATTAACTTCTTCCTAAATTAATCTAGAATTAGCAGTAAGTTGGCCATATTGGTTGGTGACAGCAAAGAGCTCCAAAAAGATTTGGCAAGCAGGAAGAATTGATCTTGGAATGACAGATTTTATTTATTTATTTATTTATTTATTTATTTATTTGGGATACTTGTATGCCGCCCCATTCGCATAAGCCTCGGTGTGGCTCCCAGCAAATAAATAACAATACAAAAATATAAAAATTGGATACATCCAGGCAATAAATAAAATAATAAATAATTTATTTTATTTATTTTATTAAATAATTTAACAATTAATTAAAATAATGTTTAAATAAAAAGGTCTTGTCCTGGCACCGAAAAATGACAACGGGGACAGGCAGACCTCTCTGGGGAGCGCATTCCATAAGTGCGGCGCCACCGCAGAGAAGGCCCTCCTCCGGGTACTCACCCTCCTAATATCTTTCACGGAGGGCTCCCGGAGAAGGGCCTCTGCCGCCGATCTTAGAGGGCAGGAAGGCAAGTATGGATGCAGGCGCTCCTTCAGATACCCAGGTCCCAAGCCGTTTAGGGCTTTATAGATCAATTTAAGTAAGTGGATAGCGATGTATATTGGGGTAAAAAAATCCCAGTGTTGAATATAAGCCGATGTCAGTTGCTGTTGGCTCAGATCTCAAGAAAGAACTTGAAGTTTTGGTGGATAGCTCAGTTAAGGTGTTCACCTAGAAAAAATCAAATTCCACATTGTACATTTTGAAAGGAATTGAAAATAAAACCGCTAATATCATACCACACTTAGAGAAAATGGTGGTGTGACCATACATGGAATTCCATTTGGTTAAAAGCACCCTGCCACTTTCTAGCAATGGGCATGGCTGAAGGCAAAAGGAATGGGGCCAAAAAACCTTCAATATTCAATTGTCTGTTTTATACTCTGCCTTTCTACCAAAACAAAGGCACTCAAGCTAAAATAAAACTTTTTTTTGTTTTGACTAAGTCTGAGGAGAGGCATTTCCTCCTCTGGAATAGGGGCATCCCACCTTACCCTGCAAGAGCCAGAAAATTTCCAAAAGATTGACAGGAGTAAGGGGTGGGACCAGGGGAAGGATGTACAGCCATCTAGGGAATGCAGGCAGGCTGAGTTTGGTTCAACACCTCTTGAGCTAGAAAGATGAATGGTCTGACTCTGTTTTAGGAATTCCTTATGTTCCTGTGACCCATGCCCTGAGAGCTGACATGCACCCTGAGCTAATGCAACTCCAAGGCCTCCAACCTTGCCCCATATCTAAACTAGTTCACCCATCTCATCTACACCGGAAGGATTGTAGCCCAGTCTCAAAATAGTTATTTCCCCAAATGGGAACCGTTTGCAAGTCACTAGGCAGAAGAGACAATGACTGGAGCTGCAGGTGCAGTAGCAGTATCCAAAATGGCTTTGCTCCCTAGGATGTCAGTGTGGCAAGACTACTCAGTATCTGCTGGAGTATGGAGAGACACCTCTTGCAATTAATTAAATGAAAGAATATATGCTTGGAGGGAAGACTCTGCCTTCTGAAAGAGTTTTCTTCTTTTGAACACATCTCCCTGATAGCTTGACGGGAAGGGTGAAACGGATAGTACATGAAGCATTCTGGGATCGCTTGGCAGACGACTTGAATGAAGACCCCCCTGAATATGAGCATGCAATCAAGCTGTTTGAAGAAATTAAAGAGGTGAGCTTAACCTTGTGCTTCCTCCTCCTCTCATGCCAAGCTCATTGTTTGACCAGGTTAGCTTCAGCCATATAGTAACACCCAGTGCTTTTTTTGTAAAAAAAAAAAGGTACTGGAACTCACGTCTTGGGGTCACACTTTTACACAATGTTCGCCGCCAGCAGTAAGCACTCAGCACGCAACCACACAACTGATCCCAAGCCGAGCGCCCTCACAATCAGCACCAACAATCAATGCCGACACACAAGCAGCCCGCAGGCACTATGTTAATGATTTTTGCTGCTGATCTGCTATGCCCAACATGGTGATTCACAATCACTTGGAAAAATCCGTCAAAAAAGGAGCCGGAACGCCTTTCCGGTGCATTCTATGACAAACAAAGCCCTGGTAACACCTCTGTTCCAAACCTGTGAAGAGTGCAGCTTGTTACAGAAGAATGCAAAAGAATAGAAAATTTGTAATTTGTGGCCTGGTATGCAGTAGATGTTCAATAAGCTGTTGGGTTTCTTTTTCTGTTCGCACTGAAAACTGGTGACACTGGACTAGTGTCAGGTTGGAGTAGGCCCTGGACAAGATAGCTCGGCGCTGGCCCTCAGCACTACTTTAGTGAGTGGTGCCTTTCTCTCTCCCACAACTTCTACACGGTAGCTGCTGTGACAGGCATTGGTGGGTAACAGGACTTTTTTAAAAAGTAGCAACAACTTTTTGTAGCCCATCCCTAATAGAGGAACTGCTGAGCTGAGAACCTGCGGCTGCCAGTAGCTTTATTTCCCTTACAGGGCTTCTCAACCCTGCTGTTCCATCTCTACAACAGGCATGGGGCTCAAAGACGTTGTGTGGAGGGGGCAAATCATGGTGCTTTTTCTTTTGTTGCCATGCTGTGAAAAAACAAACTAACTAATGAGAGCCAGTGTGGCATAATAGTTAGAACACTGAATTGGACTTGGGAGATCTGGTTTCTAGTCACCACTTGGCTCTGAAGCTCTCTGAGTGACTTTGGCCTTTTCATTGACTCTTAGCCCAACTTACTTCATAGAACTTTTGCGAGAATAAAATGGCAAAGGGGAGGAAGTGGATTATGCAAGATGTTTTGGCTTCCTTGCAAGAAAAAGAGTAGGATATAAATATAACAAATAATGCATATGAACAACTCTGGTAGGCCTTGCCTTTGGTTCGCAGATCTTGGCATTTGCCTTACCATGCTGGGTTGGTCAGCATTGTTGATCACCGTTACCAAACTCAATGCTTGCTCTTCCTCCAGGCAACAACATATGTTCTTCTCCTTGATCCCATCGAGGTTAGGTAGAGTGCGAGTGATGGGCACCGAGTCACTCTGTGAGATCCATGTATGAGTGAGGTCTCTTCCCCCCAGTCTTAGTACCTTACAGCTGCATTGGGGAGGGTAAGCTGGCCAGGAGAGAAGAATCACCAGAGAGTGAAGAGTTCTACACACTCTGACTGGAGAGAATAAAGGCATTTCCCTGCATGCAGATGGGACTTGGTGCACTACTTCAAGTTCTGCAGGCCCCTGCCATGACCCTTCCTGTGTTTTCTGCACCCCAGTTTGGAGAGTGGTGGCTTGGGAAGGACTCACCTGACTTGCCCAGCACCTGCAGGTGCTGACTGCTGCAGGTACTGCCCCAGTTGTGTTTTCTGTGCAGAGAAAGGCTGGGCTTACCCTAGTGATGTCATCCAGCCTGCAGGAGGCAATCAGGACCTCAGATCGAAACAGGTTGCTTGGACCAGTGCTACACATTCTCATATAATGTCATATAGATGTGAGGCAGTAACTGTTTGTTTTTACATCTAGATATAATAGTCACGGTTCAATTACTTTAATGAACAATGTTTACATAGGGAGCCTATATGCAAAGGTGGAGGGGCTCCTGTGCCTTTAATAGTCTTTTTTGTTCTGGCACCCCAGTTATAGAATGAGTTTCCTTGCCTAGCACCTACATGGCACTTTTTCCAGTGCCGGGTGATGGTCTCCCTATTTTTGGAGACCTTTTATCCTTTCAGTTACTTTTTAAAATCCATTACTTTAAATCTTTTTATTGCTGCTAGGTTTTACTTTGTTTTTTCCTTCTGTTTATACCACAGTTTTTAATATTTAAACCTTTATTGCCTATTTTAATGGTTTCAACTGTTGTGAACTATCCAGAGAGTTCTGGCTACAGGGTAGCAATGCGATGTAATTAAAAGATAGCCGTGTGAATTTCTGCAGGTGTAGCATGACATACAGATGTCAAATAAAGCCATATTGCCCAAAATGCCTTCTACAGGAGCCCTATTTGTATCTCTCTTTTTTCTCTCTCTTGATACCTAGTCACATAAGTCTTGCATGAGCAATGTGAGCCATTGACTATAGGTGGAAGATCTTGACTGGCTTGTGTTCTTAATATTGTAGATCCTTCTTTCGTTCCTGAACCCTGGGGCTAACAGGATGAGAAGCCAAATCTGTGAAGTCCTAGACACAGACCTCATAAGGCAGCAGGCTGAACATGATGCGGTTGACATTCAAGGTCTTGCAAACTATGTCATTAGCACCATGGGGAAAATGTGTGCTCCAGTAAGGGATAAAGATGTAAGCCAGCTAAAAGCCACTGGGAATATTGTCGAATTGCTGAGGTTGGTGTGCATTTGCTTTTTAATACTGTTCTTTAGCATGTGAACACTCAAAAATTGCCAAATACATGGATGTTCAAAATATGTACTGATGAATAAATCAAGGATAGTCTGTTTAGGGCACCTACGCCAGGAACTTCATTGCAATTCATTTTCCTTCCCTCCTTCGTCCTAATATTTGTCATTTTAAAAAATTCATACATGTTACCTTTCCATATATAATAATTCAGGGAGGGACTAACACTGTTGGGAAGCACATGCAGAAGTCTCAGCCTCAGTCTCTGGCATCTCCAGTAATTAATCTTTTGGAGGTGAAGTCCAGTAAATCCTTTCTTAAGGAAACCTTTATTTCAAGGACATTGTTTCTGACCGGTGATGAAATGGTAGTGTCTTGAACTGCAAAAATTTGAGTCTTCTCCAGTTAATATGTCCAGTGTTCTTGTCTTATACAAGGCCCTCAGTCTCATCCAGCATGGCTCTTCTGACAGTATGACACCGCAGAACTATTAAGAACGTATCTGTGATTCTTGTAGGAGAACAAAGGGGTTGTTTGCCCTTTTTATGGATCTGCCGGAGTTAAATATACAGGTCTTTGCATTCTGCATTGTCAGAAAGGACTGCTGTGTGACTGGTACATGAGCACATGTTGCTTGCTGCTTGTTCATAAAGTTTTTTTCTTCTTTCAGACAAATATTTCATGTTCTGGATCTCATGACAATGGATATGGTTAATTTTACCATTCAGAGTCTTAGACCTCATCTTCGACGTAACTTGGTGGATTATGAAAGAGCAAAATTCCAAGATATACTTGAAGAAACACCAAGTATGTTCTCTGTTTACTTACGAAGATAAAGCTATTGCCCTGACAATGCAAGCAGATGCCTGGGGCTAAGAGGAGCGTTTGGGGGAACCTGGAATTTGTATCTTCTTCCTCCTAGATGCTTTGAGCAAGAAGCCCCCAACAGATGAGGAGGAAGAAATTTTTTGTTTAGTTACCTTCTAAAACCCATTCAGGCTGAAGTTCCAGGGTAACAGTGTTCAGTCTCAAGTGCTTTGGATTGAAGATTTTATCTAGTGTGTTTTGTGTATTTATTTTGCAGGTCAAAGCTATAAGCTTTGTGATGTTTATGTGCCATGCAGCCTTGATACCTGACCTGTCTAACAAAGGGAGCTACAATCTGCATGCAGGCGGTGTTGTCTGCAAGGGGTTCCCAAGTGGCTAGGCTACCACTCTCCCCCAGTCACTCATCGTTTGGTGGTTCTTGGTTTTTGCAGTTTGTTTCTCCTTTTCTCAGTTGTTGAAATACCTCTTCTAAGGCTTAATTACTGATAATCCGAGAGTTACGTTATAGCACAATAGTATGAAAATTTTGGCTAAACCCTTTTGCCTTTGGCTCAGCTCTCTTTGTATTTGACTCCATACAGCACTGAGATGTAGGCTTTTTTCATAGCTGAAAGAAGCTATGAAAACCCTAATTTTGTAGTAGGGCTGTCCCCAAGCATCCTGTGCAGATATATCCTAAGGACAGTTTCAGATGTTCTTAAAAAGCAGCAGGAGAAGAATTACAAGCTTTTTGTTCTTGTTTGTCCAGCCGTGGCATAATTATTTGTTAAGAAATTTGATTGGGCAAAATTGGCATGGAACCCGTGAGTTACTTCTGCCCTTGGAATATGTATATTTTCATTTTCCACAAAGGCAAGAGCAAAGCAGGTTAGGTTTTGTTTTGTTTTAAGAGGAGATCTATATTCGATCCCAAAACTTGAAACAAAAGCAGAGTTGGGAATACAGCAGCCAAATTGCAGCATAAGAATGACCCAAAGTTTATTTCCATGAGTTAAATGAGTTAATGCTCTTTTGTTTATCAAAGCATCTGTAATAAACTGAAATCCCAGGCAAACACTTGAACTCCTGCTACTGGGTTAGTGCCATAATGTTTCACTTTTGTAAGCTACAAAGAAATTACTGTTCTGATCTAACTTTGAAGGGTGACTGGTGAAAGTAACACATACCCTGGGCTGATATTCGCAAATGTCTAAGTATAAACCTTATCAAGAAAGTCTGCAACAATGAAATAGCTTTGTTGTGGACTTTGTACCATCATTTACAATGCTTAAAATAGGGATCTGTAATGGCTATATGGAGCCAGTGGAATGCAGTGGTTAGAAGTCAGGAAATCTTGATTCTTGTCCCTATTCAGCAGTGAAGCTCACTGGGTGGCTTTGGAGCAATTACTGATCCTCAACATAATCTACCTTACAGGGTTGTTATACAGCGACAATAGACAGAAGGACAGCCATGTAAGCTGCCTCAGATTTCTTGGAAAAGGTGAAATGCAAAAATAAAATAGAATAGTGCAGAACATTCTAGAGGACAAGGCTCAAGTGTGTAGTGTGATAAGCTATGGATCCAAATATGTATGAGACTTGCTTTTAATGGTTTTTAATTTTTGATTAAATTTCTTGCCCATGATTTTTGATTAAATATTTGCCCGTGATACAAAAACAATGAATCTGCACCATTACAGAAGAAAAAGAGCAATATTAAATGTAACCATTTTTTAATGTTAAAAGAGCATTGAACAGGCTACATGTATATTATATATCCTTATATGTTAGTATATAACAGAACATACTAAGATTATTAACAATAATTATGCATGGACTTCAATAAAGGTGCCTCAAGTATCCACCTATTTATCCATTTGTAAATTATAGCTGAAGACCATCCATACAAAATACAAAAATTGAACATTTATTAAATCCTTCACCAATTGTATTATCGCAGATGGCCATTTATCCTCCCAATGTTGTAATACTAGTCTTTTAGCTGTCAAAAGGGTGCAAAAAAGAGTTGACCTTACATTAAATTTCAAGAGCTGGGTAGGTAATTCAAAAGAGGCTTGCTTGTAATGCTTGCTGAAACCATGGCTTTCTCACAGGTCACAGGTTGTTTGGTGGAGCTTAAGTGAGAAGCTCTGAAGAGAGACAGACTCATTCTTCCTGATGAGGCCCTGCCTTTGTGCACCATGACAGTGCTACCGCATAATGTTGTGCAGGCAGAAACTTCCCCAGCAGTGCTTGCATCAGAAAATAGCTTCCTTCCTGTGTTGCATAGTGCATTGATGTGATTGTAGCCACAAAATGTAGGCAGAATTCCAACCCATGTGCCTTGAAGTAGCTTTGGCTGAATAATCCAACTTTTCCATTCCTCCCTCCAATTCACAGTTTTTACCTTCTTTTTGTGAATAGGGCTTTGGGGTTGCTCCCCTCCACATAGTTTATTTTGTCAGCTTTGCAATTGTTACCTGTAGTAAGCTGAATGCTCTCCTGTAAAGGATGCAGTCTCTCTCTCACTTGCTTGCTATTTTTGCCTTGGAATTATGAGGTGCCCTGGACCTGACAACAGAATGGATAAGAGAATCAATTCAGGATGAGTTATCTTCCGCTTCCTGTGAAATGTCTTCATCTTCTGGTGCTTACGAGATTTCAAAGCCAAATCTGAGCCCTAATATGGTGCTAACGAACAGCTACTTGAAACTATTGCAGTGGGATTATCCCAAAAAACCTATTCCTGAGGTAAAACACCTTTTTTGTGACTAAGGACGTTTACAGCTTTCTACCCAGCTGAGGACATCGGTCCATGCCGGCATGTAGCCACCACCCAGGGGACTATCTCCTGTGTGAGATTAAAGTGGCCCTGCTCAAAGTGGGTGGGAGGGAGGAGATTTGTGGCTGGGCAGATGGATGAATAGCCAAATGAATCGCTGTGTGCTAGGATTCAAGACCAGGGCAATGTTCAACCCATTAAAACATACTTAAATGAGCACAAAATTATGTACGCATCGGAGAAGTGGACACATGCTGTTTGCAGCTGCATCATGAGACCGCTTTCCCACCTTGATCCTGTATGGGCATCAAGACCTCAAAGAGGCTATTCTCTCTGTCCCAGCACTATCACAGGCACACTTACTGAGCACGAGGAGAGGCCTTTTTAGTGGCTGCCTCAGGTTCTGGAACTCCCCACCCAGGGAAGCCAGGCTAACTCCATCTCTGTTGCTCATCTGCTGCAGACAATGAGACTTTTGTTTAAACAGTTTTGGTGCTTAAGCTGCCTTGCTGCTAAAATTGGCAGGGCTTTTTTGATTCGATGGGCTTTACAAACATCTGAATTTTATTTCAATTTGATTTCATTTATTGTATTCCTAAAAGGGGTTTAGGTGGTGTCCTATGCACTAGTAGTCTGCCCAAACTACAGAGGCTGCCATATCAACACTGGGAGAACTAGGCAGTAGAGAGGCAGAAAAACGAGGGTGGTAAAAATCTAAGTCATGGTATCTAACAAGAACGATGTAATGCTTTGTTCCTGGGGTCTGATACAGCTAAGGGCACAATCCTGTGGGGGTTTAGAAAGAAAGCCTGAGGAATGATGGCAGTTGTAGAACTTTTTAAACCTGTATAGAATTGTAGAATGGCAGTTTTAGGAGTTTAGGAGTGCCCCTCAGTTAAGATGAATCACACAAAAGTCCCCCCCCCCCATTCTAAGCTTGAAAGTTCTACTTTAAAATGGCACCTGCTCTGCTAATATCTTGCAATTTGACGTCCCGGATTAGGTCTATGTGCAAAACTTCAAACAAATCCAGTATAAGTTACACAGAAGAAGATAAAAAGTGTGGAAAATGGACACATTGTTTTACGTTTGGCTCCATGCTGTGGTTTGACATGGCATATTTCTCTCAAATGGTGGTAGAAACTTTTCAACATTAGCCAGGTCTGTTCTGAATTTGTGCCTTTCACTGCTTTAGTGAAGTTCTAAGCAGCAGTTTAAAAATTAGTCAGGTTTTCTACTTCATAAATGCCTTTGGTGGTAATTGTGGCAACATTTTATTGGGCATGCTCATTTTCACTGTGAAGCCAGAATGTTGCCGGTATTCATGTTTTTGAGAAAAAATCAGTTAGAAGGTTCCTTTGCACAAGGCCTATTCCACAATGTGAAATGTGAGCTTACAAGAGGAGTCTGCATGTTACAACACAGATTGGGACTTTAGCATGTGGGCGGAGGAAGATTTTAATCCTTTACCCTCCTCCCCCGTAGTCCCAGTTTGTATCAAGTCCCACATACTTCCAGTTTATGTTTTTCCATAATGCAGGAACCGGCTTGAAGTCCCTATGCATGCTCTGATCCATATGAGGTCTCCTGAATTTGCTGTTGAGTAAAACGAAAAAAGTTAGCTATAGTTTGAAAGTATCATGCAATTTGACCCTCAGAAGTGGGGGTGGCTAGAAATGATCAGGTCCTCACACCACCTTTCTGAAAGCAAAAGTGTAACCTAAGACATTTAATGTTCCTTGTTCTTGATTTCTGTGATGAATATAAAATACTTGAATATACTTGTAACAACTGAGTTGCATGCTAGGACTGTATTCATACGTTATACTGAATATGGGTTCACAATCCATGTATGTTTATTAAGATGATTGTGAGAACCTAGCCCTATTCAGTCATTCTTACTGGGCAACTTTGCATGCTGCACTGAGTCACTCTTGAGAATATGCCACAGTGGGTGGTTTATCTGTTACTCTGGACAGATGATCACCCACTGGGCAGCTTGCTATGGCTTCTTTCTCCTGCAGTCCCTCTCCATCCCCCTGGCTATTGTCAACTGTATCCTAGGGGCCTTTGCAACAGAAATCCTCACTCCCTGCATCAGCATCCTTTTTCCAACTGGTCTGCTAGACTTGGTTTATGAGGGAAACTCCCTGTTCCTCACAGCATATTGCCAAAGAGATTTAAGTTTTGAGGCTTTATGAACACAGGGATGCTTTTGCATCTTAATTTTTCATTTTAGAGGACATGTGCCAGTACACAGGACTGGAAGACTGCCTATCCACTGCCTGAGAGCAACATAGCCATATCTTCCCCTATTAATGACATTTTAAACTGTTCCTTGCATTATAACAATAGTATGTCTTGGATTTGATATAGTAGTTACTAATGACATGGGTTGTCTGAAAATTAATTTTGAAATTAAATTAACTTGTTTAGAGTAATTTACACTGGAAAATTTCTGGATGTCCTCCTAGAGTGTTCTAAGTTAGCCTTTTTATTTTACCTATATTTAGTAACCCGTAAGGCTATATAAATAGAGAAGTAACCATATTAATTTTTGTCCCATATACTCTAAGTGTATGATCTGGAATATTTGCAGCTGAGGGGAAAGTAAATTGCAATGTGATTTAAATGTTATATTATGTAGATTTTTAATTGGAATCCTTATAAAAATGTGTTTCCCTAACAATTTAAGGGGGGTGGGGAACCTCAAAGATAGCAAAAGCTGTCGACACACCAATAAATATTAGGAACCCAAAGAACTCTGTATTCTTTGCAGTGACTCATCTACAACTTCTGAACTGCCAGAATTGTCTTTTTGTATTTGCAGTTGGTAGCCATTCACTGTTACTAACAAACTCATGATATGGAAAATTTTCCACCCCACATGACTGGGAGTTACTGCTTGCTAACTCCTCAATGTACTGTATTTTGCTTTTTCTCATAGAAGCTGTTGGGAGACAAAATTGACATAGTTGAGATGGGGGCACAGTTATCTGACATATTTAAGAACACAAACTATTTCTGAATATTTATGGAGCAAATGAGCATGGAAATGTTGTGTTTTATACCAGATGTTTTTCTGAACATAGTAGGATGCCTGGTACCTATATTCCATGGATGCTAATCTTTGTCCTGTCCTGATTAAATGAACTCCTTTGACAAAAAAAGAGCTGGTAAAGATATATTTTATTAAAATATAGATATATTAATCTTTTATATTAAATCTTAGTGGAGGTTTGTTGGGTTATAAATAACACCCTGTACTTCTGTTCCAGACACTAATGGCAGATGAAGGTCGCCTTCGGGAGTTATCAGAGAAACTGAATCAGCTGAAGATTGTAGCTTGTATCTTTGTCATCATAAGCAACATGGTAACTGCAGCTACTGAAGCCATTCCAGAGTTCATTGAGAAACAAAAGAGAATTTCACTTGTCCTGCTTGAAGGAATGAATAAGAAGTAAGTTTTTTAAAAAGCTAAAAAAACAAACACATGGACTGGAGTGTGAGGAGTTACTGGAAATTAATTAAGGTGGGGCATCAGAAGAAGTGTCTGATCATTAACTTTCTCCCCCCCCCCCCTTTATTTTGCAGGACTTTTGATTTGAAAGAAGCACTTAATGCAATAGGTATTCAGACATGTACTGAAATAAACAAATCACTAACTGAGAAGGGGTTTCCACCACTGAATAAGGAAGTTCAGTCAAACTTACTGGGGCAGCTCTGCAGCATTGCTGAAGAAAACAATCCTGTCAGCTCTTTAATTGGTTAGTACACATGCAGACTCTGTTTCAAGTATTCAGTGAATGCATGTGGGGTGAGGCCTTGCCTGGTCCATTTTATGAGTTCCAGAGAGCAAAGAAGGCTGTGATTGCTTGAACGAACTAAGGAATGTCACTGTCTGTTCTTTACTAAAGTTAGTTAAAAGGCAGAGAGTTTTCCAGAGGCATTCTCTTGGGTTCAAAGGCATCTTTTAAGATAAATTCACAATCAACTTGCCACATATTTTAAAGAGCATTTGTTGTGCTGTTTGTATACCCTGCTGTTTGTATTGCCCACTGTAACAAGACAACATGGATATTCCTGAGGAATACTCGCATGTAGTCTGAAACATAGTGGAGTGAGTGTTCCCCTCCTGCATGAATGTCACTATAGTTGGATAATCAAACAAGAAGAAGCGGAGAACGCTAGCAGTAGGTGGCCTTGCCTCGGGGTTATCCCATCCCTACTTGGATGAGTCCTACTTGGAGAAATGTCACAACCTGAACCTCAGTACAGGAACTGTATTCTGGTGCATGTTAAGCCCAGAGAATCTAGAAAATGCAGAAAACTGCTGTAGAAATGCTGAACATAGCTTAAATTTTAAAACATTCCTGCCTCAAATGTCTGTATCCTGTGTGTGGATGGCAAGAGTAGATTGAACAATGAGGTTCTTCTGCCCCTTTCTGTTCATGGATCCTTCACACCATGAACCTATGAAGGAGTCTATGTCATATACAGAAAGTTTTGCTATCTATACAGAATGAGGGTAAGAAAATGTCTAACAGTGGTATGCATGTGTTTTTTTTTTTTTTCCTCTCCAGAAAAACGAATTTATTTGTACATGAGGACCTTGCTTACTTCTCCATATTCTCAAAAGTCTATGCCTACAATTCCAGGAGGCCTTGCCATGATTCAGTCTGAGATAGAGGCTATTGGAACACAGTATGCCAACATTGTTAACCTTAATAAGCAGGTGTATGGACCATTCTATGCAAATATTTTTCGAAAGTTGCTGTTCAATGAGGCAGAAACAAAGCAAGCAGAACTTGCTCCTTCTACTAACTGAAATATTTAACCCTCCTTTGTTCCTTCCTTTTTCTGCAGTGTTTCTACTGTGATCATTGTTCTTTTGAACAGTTATTCACTTAGAACAACAACACAGTGAGAGGGAGAGAGAGAAATGTGTGTCTGTAAGCAGACTAGACCATAGAGATTATATTCAAATAAAAGCTTCCCTGAATCCCTGCAAGTTACTATATTATAAAATATATATGTATGTTTGAAAAAAATGATTATGTTTACAATGGATTGTAACATTTATTGCACTTACTTACTGTAAATATTTTCTCCTACTTGACCACTTGGGATGTCTGGGGTAAATACTTGCTGATTATCTACAAGTATCTCTCCTTCAGATTTTAATATGCCTGCTCCAATGCCTTCAGTGCAATGAAACAGATGTTTGTAGTTCAAGCACTCTGAACTAAAAAAAATAGGTCACAAATAGCACCATCACTCTCCCTTCCCAAAGAGGCTTGCTAATAAAATACTGTTATCATTCCGTCCATACCCCAATTTTGCTCCTGGGTTGGCAGTTGGAGGATTGGAAGGAGATGGCCATTTCCAAATTTGCCCTGCCTCTCTGGATTTTGACCCCTAATGCAGTCTTCCCAGTCCCAAACTTAACTGGATGTTAAAAGCAACAACATACTCCTGGATTGGCATGTGGGAGAGTATCAGATGCATTTCATGGAAGTTTTCAGGGCATTTTAGAGCACAATCCTATGCATATTTAGACTGGCTGGGGGATGCTAGGAGTTGTAGATCTTTTTTCTGTCTAAGCATGCATAGCATTGCATCCTTAACATATTAGATTACATAGAAGCATGCAATATTATATATAAGGTATATTTTTACATCTCAGATTATTTAATATGGAAGGGCTACAGTACATTGGGTATATAATCTTCATTTTTAATACCAGAATTAATCCTAACTTGAAAATAATTATTCAAGGAAGTGTATCATACAGTACTGTTCACTGTGATTCTATTAAGTAGCAAAAGTTATATCTGTTAACTATAACAACTCCAGCAAGTATGTCTTTAAGTATTCCTTGTTGATACTTTATAGCCCTACTGTGTATTTTTGGTAAGAATTCATCCTTACCGACAACAAGAGTAAGATATAACCCACTTGCCATATAGTTCCGACATGTTTTTTACAAAGATTTTTTAAAAAGTCTTTAGTATTAAAAGTACTGTGGTTTTATAGACAAACCTGAATTTTTTAAAGGCCAGAGTTTATATATGTTCTTTTAAAAAAATCTGCCAGCTATACTTTACTAGGCTATTTCAAACAGCAGCACACTTCTTGTTGGGAGGGAAAAGAAAGATTTACTTCTCCGTACAGTTCTTATTTCCCTGAGGGATTAAAGCAAAAGGACAAACCTCTGTGCAGCCGGTTTAATTAATTTAGAGGTGCTAGCAGCAGTGATCTTCAGCTTTTCAATCAACATACTGAAACCACACGCTAGTCTTTTCAGAATGACTTTAAAAGAGAGTATGTGTGCTGGTCACCTTGGTCAAAGACTTGGGGTGGTTTGTTTTGTGTTGTTTTCTGTTCTAAGGAAAATTTATTTCTTCAAGGGAAATAAAAGGAAAAAAATATTTTTCACTTTTCTAGATAAATTAAGGTGAGTATGAGAAACTCCCAATTGTGAGTGTTCTTGCAACATAATATGTATGCTAGGCACAAAAATTATGACACCAGAAGAGGAATTCCCTGCCTCCTCCTCCTCTCTCCTGGTATTTGCTTCAGCATCTTGAAAATACTACACACGTCAAGGGATCGTAGTTGATGGGATGGGGCGCAAAGGGGGACCAAAATAATAAAATAGGAGCACCTTTTGTGCACAGACCTCCACCCATGGCTGGTTTTCCCTTCTCCATTTAGGGGGATAATCCCACCCCCTGTACACCATGAAGCTGATTGGTGAGAGTTTCTGAATGGATAAAAGGAAGTACTTAGTAGATTCCACTATGGAACTATGATCCTCTCTATTTCAACAAGATAGTGATGACCACCAATTTGGATGGCTTTAAAAGAATTAATGGAGAAGGCCATCTATGGCTACTTGTCCTGATGACTATCAGCTGCCTCCTGTAACAGAGGCATATTGCTGGGGCACATGGGTGGGAGAGTGCTGTTGCACTCATGGCCTGTGTGTGGTTTTCCTGTGGGTAACTGGCTGGCCACTATGTGAACAGAGTGCTGGACCAGATGGACTTTTAGTGTGTTCCAGCATGTCTCTTCTTATCACAACCCATCCCATTCAGCAGGGTATTTGTCCTTCTCTGCAAGGAAATCTCTCCTTCCACTAGTCTAGTTACACATGCATAAAACTGCTTCCAGTCCTATGTGTTGAACCATAAGACATTTGGTCCATAAGGGACTTCTGTCAAGATTCTGAAGATAAGAGAATTTTATACTTAAATTAAGAAGCAATAGTATAAAATGTAATAGGTGAGATGACACTATGAACTTCCCCAAGGAACTTTATTGTATTCATTCTAATGTGGAATATATGCATATTGTTTTCTTAAGCACTGTACATATAGAGGGAGACTGAATAAAGCAATAGTACCTCTACAAGTTCCTAATCAACTCTGGGTCAAATTAGTCATAACTTAAGTCCTATTTGAAAGGGACTAATTGCAGCTAACTTAAGGTGTAACCCTCTGCATGTTTAGCATGCCCCCAGCCAGCCATACTGAAAGTTGTAGGAGTTTTTTCTGTCTAAACGTACACAGTCACCCTTAATCTGTATCTAGCTCTATATTTATTGGAAACACTTGTGTAGAGGATTAAGACAAAGGAATATTTGTTTTTTGGTTTTATAAATGACTTCAAGGGGGCATTTTATATAGTATGGTATGTCTATTCAGCCTTCAAGGAACTCCTAACTAATGTTCATAGCCTTTTGGATGTCCTGCTTAAACAGATGTGTTAACCTGTCCATCTTGCATGTTTACTGGAATTATTCAAGTATCTTTATCTTCATTTAGAACCCCACCTTCATTTTGCTTAATGAAAACAAGATATTGTATGTAATTGATTTATTAGGTGGTTTTGTGTTCATATTTGTATTCATTAAATTCTGTTTGCAATTAAAGAGTGTCATGGAGTTGATGATTGTGTGCTGAGAGGAGGGATAAAAAGAAAAACCAAAATGTGGAATATATAGAATCCTTCTAGAAAAGTGTTCCCTCCTCTTTCCTGCTCTCTGTCTCACCTTCTTTTTCAAAGAAAGAATTCAACATTTTCTCATCACTTCACAAGTCCTCAACTCCACTGAAAGCTCTGGAGTAAATCTATTTACAGTGCTGTTCACACTGCCAGCCCCCTCCAAAATGGAATAATCTGGGGCAGCCTCATAAGCAGCAGGATCCAAGACCTTTCTGTTCTCTTATGAGGGCCTAAGACTGAATCCCTATCCTACATCAACTTGTGTCTTACCTCTTGTAGGTTTTCACAGGAGGAAAACAAAACAAAGTAAGCTGATGGCCATAGGAAACAAAGTAAGACCTTCACCTGCCCTGGTCAACCTAAGCTGGCAGGGGACTGGAAGTGCTCGAAAATTTGCCACTTTACTCCCCCTCAACACAACTGCTCTGCCCTTCACTAGATTATTGACTTATCCTATGCATGTTTCCTTTGAACTCATTGGACTTGATGTCATCAGCCTTACGGTTCTCTGTGTATAAATTGCAGAGTTAAAATATAGACATTTGCTTGGGAATAAACTCAGTCCATTAAGCTCACTGTAACTTTCTTCATGTGAGTTTAAATGGTCTCCAGGGGATGGTGGAGGACAGGAAGGCCTGGAGGAATGTTGTCCATGGAGTCGCAATGGGTTGGATGTGACTTCGCAACTAACAACAAAAACAGCTTTCTTCAAGTCCAGTCCTATCCATAGCTACTTGGAAGTGGTTTACATTTTAAAGCTGTCTTTTGGCATGGGATCAAACAAGATATAAAAGATTCAGTCATCAGGACTGTAATGATGACTGCTGGATGATACCTTGCAGGAAATACAAGAATTATTTGTGTCATGAACATGCTCTGCAAGGGATGACATTTACTGAAAGTGGTTAGCTGTGTATTTACTAAGAAATAAATTTCTGTTTTCCATGCAAATCTGATAGATATCAACATTTATCAAGTTTCAGACATAAATAATGGATTCCATTTCACATCTCTCTGGAAATAAGTCCTGTTGAGTCCACAGATGACTAATGGCACACATACCTCTGAGAATAGAGGATTGTACCCCACACATCTGATAAAGTGGTGCCTATTTTACAACAGCTTATGGAGTGCTGCCACGCACTCAGTTGTTTTTATTACAACAGCTATTCTGAGGCTACCATTTTGTCTCCCCTGCATACAGAGGTTCTGTACCCGTAACAGCTGCATTCAGAAATTCAACAGGCACAGGTCTTCCTGGCATAGAAAGTGAACAATTTGTGCAGCAGTGGACAATTATAGACCAGCTAAATGTATGCTTCTCAAACAGGAAAGAAATGACTTCCAATTGTAAATCTGGCATTAAATTCTCATCGTAAATAAATGATATAATATAATATGAAAAATCATTAATATAAATGAATTATATTACGAATCACAAACAGCAGTGAATAAAAATATATGTGGTATTTTACTCCAGTGTAATGATTGAGGTTGATGAACAGATTCCTGATTTGGTCAGTCATAGTCAATGTCTGGGTTTCTATTCTGTTCCATGGAATCCGAAGTACATCATAAAAGCTTCAAAGCAATGGACTGGTTTCAATTATGTTTATTCTGTTCTGTACAAGTCCTTCCACGTAACTGCAGTCAGGAAATTGGGAAGGATGCCTCAAGCTAAGTGATAGATTTTTCGGCTCATTACCAACGCAAATCTATGCATGTTTAGCAAGGGGGAAGTGTCCCCAACTTGAGGAACGCTGGGAGTCGTACAGCTTTTTTTTTTTTTTTTTCCTGTCTAAGCACGCATAGGATCGCGCTCCAGGAAGGTATTCTGATCAAAAGTGTTCATTTTCTCCCGACCAAAGAAATTTGCGTGCGAGCCGAGCAGCCTATTTGGGATAAGGCGGACAGCCGCGGCGGAACCTCTGAGCAGCCCTCCAGTTGCACAGGGGGCAGGATTCAGCGAACCACGCGGTACGCCGCGCATCGTTGAATACCGGCACTTGTCCGCTTTGGGGCTGCCATGGACGCGCTGGCTGCGGAGCTGGGAGTTTCGACTCCTGAGCAAGCGGCGGCTCCTGTAAACACGGTGGAGGTGAGTAAAAGCCGCGGGGACAGTAAAAGGGGAGGGAAAATGGCGGCTACTGCCTTAGTCCTTTCTTTCCGGGGACCCAAAGTGCCTGTACCAATGAGGCTTCTGATGCGAATGCGTGTAGTTTCATGTTATTATTTTGTGAGCGGCTTTACCTAGTTAACAGATAGGTTGAACGTGCACAAAACCTGTCTATCTGCTATTCCCCCGTGCTGTACGCTTTTCCTTGTTTCAGGAAGCCCGTAGAGAGAAATCCGTAGGCATGGATGGTAGCGTAGACCAGGGCAGTTTGCACATGAGATGAGCTTTAGAGCGGCATATTCTTTTTCGATCGACCGTAATACATGGAGACTTGTACTTGCCTACTTCGAAATAAATCCCATTTAAGTTTCGTGAAGTCATAGTGGCTAGAAAAGAAAGCAGAAAGTCTTAAGGTGGCATCCTAAGCATGTTTAGACAGAGAAAAAGGCCTGCAAGTGCCAGCATGCTGACGGGAATATGATAATGTTGTAGGCCTTTTTTCTTTCTAAATGCACATAGGATTGCCGTGTCACATATTAAAAGCCAACAAAATCTGACATAAGCCTTTGTAGATTACCCTGCTGGGAATTGTGCTATAAAAAGATAAAAAGAGCCATGCTGCATCAGACCAATGGCCACTGAGCTTTCTGACTCTCTTGCTGGGTCTTTGCAAATGCTTTCCCAAGTGCTACAGTTTAATAAGAAAAATCTGGGTCCAGAATCTCCACGAGAGGAAATGTTCAAATAAGTGGCCATATTCAAAGACTTAGCTATTTTCTCTTTGGTTTGCTTCTGCTGATACTGTATTTAAGACAGGGGTAGTGTGACCCTGTTGATATTACTGGTATTCTTGTGGAGTGGCTGGATGAGATGGGGGGGGGGCACTGCTTTGCAGTGGCTCCATCCTAATTGGAGGGCCATCTCCAGAAGGTGGTGCTTGGAAAATACTGTTCAGTTCCTCAGGGATTTGTTCTGTTCCCCATGCTATTTAACATCTACATGAAACTGCTGAGTAGAGCAATCAAGAGTTTTGGAGCTCTTTCTCCTTTTCATTGCTGGAAGGTGAGGCTGTGTATGTGAACAAACTGAAACTCAACCCAGACAAAGCTGAGATGCTGTTGATCATGATTCCTTTGACTTGGTGGTGGTCAAAGGTGTTCAACCTGGTCCAGATGGGGTCACACTCCTCCTGAATGAGCAGGCTTGTAGCTTGAGGATGTTTCTTGATCCATCTCTCTCACTTGAGGCTCAGGTGGCATTGGTGGAGCAGAGTGCCTTCTAACCTACTTTGACTGGTGGCCCAGCTGCACCCCTGCCTGAACAGAGATAGCCTGGCTTCAGTAATTTACTGTAATCTCTGGATTGGATTACTGCAACACCCTCTATGAGTGGCTACCCTTGAAGATGGTTCAGAAGCTGCTGCTGCTGCTTCAGAATGCAGCAGCCAAATTAATAATAGAGACCAAGCGATCCAAACATGTAAGACCAGTTCTAGCCCACCTGCATGGGCTACCTGTATGCTTCTGGTCCCAATTCAAAGTGCTGTTCTTAACCTATAAAGCCCTACATGGCTTACAAGGACAATACCTGTTGGAACACTTCTCTCAAACCCAATCTACCTGGACACTATGCTCAACTTCTGTGTGCCAACCTCATGAGAGGCTTGGATGATTGTGACTAGAGGGGAGGGCCTTTTCTGTAGTGGCCTCCCATCTCTGGAGCAATTTTCCTGCTGTGACCTGCAAATTTGGCATCTTTTTGGTGCCTGGTTATGACAGTCCTCTTTGCTCTCTTCACCATGCTCCTGATCTACCAGACTCCACCCCTTATCTCTTAGGCACCTTTGTGGATTCTTAATTCTGATGCTCAGGAGTCTTGACAACACTGTGCCGTTCATGGTATCAATCCAATAGCCTTCTTCAACCTGGTGCTATCCAGTTGTGTGGATAATGATAATGAAAGTTGTAGCCCAACACATTTGGAGAATACCGGACTGGGAATAATGTGTTGAATCCATGGCAGTTTCTTATTTTCATAGCAAAAATATTTGTCAGCATTGATAAGAAAATCTGTTTTGCTGATCTACTGTGTTTGATCATCAGTAAAACATAAAGAGCATTGTTCTTGCATTATATCACTGTCTTACACTGTGTGCTCTCTTACACACATGCATTTCAATAACATTTCAGAAGAGATTTATAATGCACCATGCAAGAACTGTGGTGTATTAATGGTGGAATATTAAAAGTTACAGTGTGATCTGAGGACACATGATACAGCCATCTTGCTAATGTTAAGCAGGGCTGCATCTATGATTAAGATGCAACCATATACCCACTTATCAGGCAGGATGTTCTGTTGAACTCAACGGGTCACACTTCTGAGTAGGCAAATGATTGGCTTATAACTAAATATAATTTAACATGGAACTTCACATTCTGAAAAATGCTTTCTACTGTACTTTTGTTTTCAGGAAAAATGGAGACTACTTCCAGCATTTCTGAAGGTTGGTTAATATATCTCTACTATTGTAATTGAGTGCACTTATTGTCTTTAGTCAATGAAATAAATTAAAATATTAAACAGAAGCGTTTCCATGCTATTGTTAGAGGTAACTAATAGAGGTAGCAAATGTTTAGTTTTAGTTCACTATCTAGAATCAATAAGTTCCAATTTCTTTCTTTTGGTAATATTGTAACTATCCTCGTGTACTGCAGCATCATTTTTCCTCTCAGCTCTAATTCGCTGATTATTAATATTTCAGGTTTGTGTATAAATTAGCTAGTGTTTATCTAAATGATTTGAAATCT